ACAAGTGGAATATATTTTTCACGCGTGCTCACACACCATTTTACGATGTTCACGTGCGACCACAATTCATTTCACGATATTCACGCGTGTGCACACCGCGGTACCTACTAAAATTTCCCCATGGGTATTGTATATTTGTCGAAAGTAGAACGTGACTGAAGAAATCTCGATTGTACCATGTGAAAACCAAAATTGTACATCTTCTTATCCGTTACACGACCGTAGTTTGAAGATTATCACTGAAAACAGTGACGAGAAAATCAATGTTACGAGAATGTATCCACCTATTATTTTTCGTGTGTAATTCCAGACAAGCAAGCAAGCAGAAGAAAATAGAGAACGTGACAAATATCTTAGTTATAACGAAGCTAGTCATATTTTCATGTATGGCTCTATAAAATAAACTTCTTGCATTTAAGTGTTCGAAATTGCGAGTGACTTATCTTACAGAGGAAAATAAAAAATGAACCAATGAACAAGATAATTCATTCTCAACTTATCACGCTAAATAAAGCCACGTATCCAAATTGTTCGAAGACAGTTACATAATCTGATCACTGTACATACCCTTTACAATAAAAAAAGAAATCAAAATGAATAGAGACCACTGCGTTGAACTCTACCACATTTCTATTTTTTGCTGATGCAGAATCCGAGAAAAATGACGTTTACCCTCCTAACAAATGTATCAGATTCTACGTCACTCTCGATTTGATTTGACAGACAGTTGAATTTACATATTTAAGTTACATCTCGCTATCCTAAGTTTAATTTTGTTAAAAATAGCTTCGTAAAGGTTTTCGTATATTCTGAGTTCAATAACGAGCATAAAAACCTGCTTTCCGCTACTTACTCTTTAATGAAAACTTTAAGCGCTTTGCTAAAAAACGGGAGAATATGTCGTAAAATGTATCGGTCTGTTCGTCAACTCAAATTGAGAGTGGCGTCGAATCCGATAATTTTGTTAAGAGAGTAAAAGTCATTTTTCTCGGATTCCGAGTCACTAAAGACAATTTCTTACATAACTCCACGATCTCTTTAACTATAGACTACTTTTAAACGAAACGGAAAAATTTTCCGAAATGAGCGATATTTCAGTTGGATCTAACCTGGCTGAGATGCCGTTCTAAACAAAATAAAAGCAAAGTCAAGGAAAGAAGTCAATCGTTAAATGAGCGCTACTTGTGATAGTACTAAAAAGAAGTTGTATAAGACATGAAATTTTCTTCAATAATAACAGACGCAATAGAAAGCCACCCATAACAGAAAAAACACTAAAAAACGACTATTCTCAAAGACAAAATAAAAGGCCTTCTATTCTGAGAGAGCTAATTTCAGCGACCTCTATTATTATGTGAATCAGAATTACAGTTAGTTTAAATAAATATTTCTGATCTAATCCTTGTCGTTTATTGACTAAAAAGTTGATAATTGTCATTTCAATAACTTTGTCTAATACTAAACTCACTAATACTAAGCAACGAGTGTCATCAGAACAGCATAATGTAGACAAATTGGAAGTCTTGAAAATGCTGTTTTTTCAGCTAAACGTTGTGTTTTATTTATTCACCTATGATCCTAAAAGCATAAGAGCACTTCATTTTTTAATTTTTCAATTCTAGGTTTCTATGGTAGAAAGTCTGGTGAATGTGCTAAAGTACTTAAAATAAGTGCTTCATTTGCGTAATGAAGTCAGTACTGCCTTTTTCCCCAGAAATAACTGTAGTTGCAAGTACTTGATTATTAAACTGACAGGTACTTCCACTAAGTACTTTTTTCACTTGTGTGTATAAACATAGTCTGATAAAGATGTCTTCGACGTTGAAACGTAACTAGTTTTTAATAAAATTAAATAAATGAGAAAGAGTAATGAAATTTTTTTGGTTTTAATTCAACGTCCTTTCTAACAAGAAATCAATAATTGTTGAATACTCCTTTATTTTCGATTAACAAGAAGCAATATTTCGTTAACAACTTTGTCATAAGCCCTATTTGCAATTTTACTTCGAAATATGAGTTGTCAAAACCTCAGTGGCGATTAAAAGCAGTGCAAAAATCATCGGTAACAAAATAGACTAATGAGCCTCTAGTATATCGAACAGTTGTGAATTTTATTCCATACAAGCGATTTCTATCGTACGCTATATGTTTAAACACTGAAATATGAATAGAAAATATGACATTATTTGTTCATTTTTCTTTAGTCGTATAGAAACCGTCAAAAAACAGCGATCTGCATGAGCGTAATCAAAGATGATCGTCGGCGTTTGAATAGTGAACAATCAAACTATGAGGAAGATACGCCTGAAAAAGTTGAAAAAGTAGATATATCAGGTGGAAAATTTGAAAAAGTGCTTACGATATCAGCAGGCGACAGTGTTGATTTTGAACTAAAAGAAGACTCGAAACAATATGATATTATTCAAGTTTATCGTGATGGATCGGATTTTTATCCAGTTCCAAATGGTATTGAACTTCGGAATATTAGCAAGACTGAAAAAGGACGCTTGTCATTGTCGTTTGATTTAACAACTGACGAAAAAGAACGAGAAATTTATTTCTATATTATTTTGTCAGACAATAATATTAAAACAAATGTAAGACAAAAATATTCGAGGGATGCATGTGAAAATAATAAAATTATTATTAAACCAGTTGTAACAAAATTTTCGTTTACGGATAAAGAAGATAGCCAAAAAGTTTATTTACGAAAAGGTGATATTTTAGAAATTGATTGGGCCAGTACAACAACAGAATACTATATTGAAGAAAAAAAATATTGTCCAATATCAGGCGGTTTTTATACGATCACGAACAATAGTAATCAAACACAAAAATCAACATTAAAAGGAATATTTAAAAAAGAGATTAATCAATTAGGAATATCTTATTTTATACGTCTTGCCAAACAGAAAACTGAATCCAATCGTTTGATGTATTATATACACGATATCCTTGTATGTATTGTTCAAAACAATTATAAATATAAATATGTTCAACTAACGAATGATAATGGTATCGAATCAAAACCAATATGGATTGATGAAGATGATACGATTATTTGGGAATGGGATACGAAAAAGAAACAATCAATTACGCAGGTTGATTCATATAGAAATAATGATAATGATCAATATACAGAAGTAAATTTTGTTTACTTTTAAAAATTAATTGCTTAAACGTAGGGATGTTTAGTTCTGGATTCCGGTTCTCAAGTTAGAACCGAAACGAAAAGAACCGCGTTTCCTGATATGGATGCCGAAAAAAAAACCTCGGTTCCGGTTCTGCACTAAGAACAGAACCGCGGTTTTCGGCTCTCAGCTTAGAACAGGAAAAGAATTTTTCAGATAGTAATAATTCAACGAAATAGAATTAATTTTATAGTAAACGAAAGAATTCTTTTAAATAATGGCAGGTAAATATATCTTTTTGCAACTTTGTCAATAGTGTGTTTTCATTTTGTTAAAAGAAAGACAAGTCAAACAGTCTCGGTTCCGAAAAAAAGCCGTCTAAGAGACAGCGGTTCCGATTCTTCACGGAAACCGAACATCCCTAATTAAACGTCAATTGTGAATTTTCTTTATCAGAACATTAAATATTTGTCGTATTGCAGAGATGTTTTTTGGGAAATATTTTTAAGATCCTTCCTGGTCGAGTTATAGGGCAAATACTGAAAAAACGTCTCAAAAACCAAGTTTTCAAATTTAGAAACTCTATAACTCGGTAAAGAAAAGTCTAAAATTAAATTCCAGAAAAACTCCTCTGCAATAGTGTCTTGAGTACCACTGATAAAATTTTTAACTCCATCGGATGAAATTTAAGAGGGGTCGTAATGTGACACAATGAAGCCTGGTAGCAAAAAAATAGTTTTTTGAGAAAAAGCAGCATTTTGTACACAGACCACTTTTTTCAGGGCATTTGCCACGATGCTTATATCTCCACGAAAACTCACCGGAAAATTCTGAAAAACGTCTCATAATGAAGAAAACACTTTCTTCTATCAGACTATGCGTAAGAAAAATTTTGAATGTACAGGAAAGAAGAGAAAAAATTTATGAAACTAGAAAACTGAGAGCTTTTAGGCTTTGAAGAAAAAATTTGAAAACTGCATAACTTTTTGAAGAAAGATCATGGAGTGCTGGGAGTGATCTCATTTTATAGTCCACACTTTCCTCTACATTAGTTTATGCTCAGCTCAAAATCCGAAATTTTTTCAAAAAGAGGGGTGTATCGTTAAGTAAATATTTTCTTTTCAAAATTTTAGTTAAAAACAGAATCTGAAAACAATTTTTTTTGGGCATTTCCGCCAAATAAGCGTGGTATGATGTGTCATCAATTTACCAAGCCAGGTGTCTATTCTTATAAGGATGCTCTGAATAATATTAGAACAGTTATTGTTCAAGCGCGAACAGAATTTTATTCAATATCAATTTTAGACGATAAATTAGGTAAGATTTATTGTTCTGTGCATGTTGTTGATGTCATCACTTGTGTTCTTGTTTTTTCTAGTTCATAAAGTGTCAACAAATCATATGATTCAATTTTATTGGGATACACAGAAACAAATTTCAGAATTTTCAATTATAATTGATCCTGTTTCATCCGTTGTTCCTGAAGCAATTAGCGGATTAACAGGAATATTTGATTGTGTTAATCATAACTGTCAACGAGTCGATGAATTAGTTAGCCATCATTTTTACAATTGTAAAACATTTTTAATGACTATACCAGTACATGGATTATACAATTTTAAATATTCAAATTCAAGTGATAATAGACTTATGAGTATTGTGGTTGAAAATGCAATTGATGTATGTTGAAGAAGAAAACAAAAATAGTCAAACTTTTTTTACTCTATTTTTATTGAAATATGAAATAATAATTTTTTTTTCTTTAGAATTATACTGTTCAGTGCAATGATACAGGTTTTAATCCTCCAACTTTATTCATTACTCAATTAGATTTTCTTTGGTTCGAATGGAAGACAGGAACATTAAAACAATTATATCAAATAAATAAATATGGAAATATAAGTGAAAATAGTTTTAATTTTAAATCAAACAAAAATGATTCACAATATTTAATGAAACAATTTGATCGAATTGGTGTTTATTATTTTACAAATATTAACAATGATCAATATGACGATAAACAAGAAAAGACAACAATTGAATTAAAAACATTAGTCAATCCAGTATTAACAATTATTGTATTACCCGAAATTAAATTTCATTATAAACTTATACAAAAACATGATTTTGATTTACAACCAATAGTAACAAAATTACATGATTTTGTTATATGGGAATTTTCTGAACCTATTCAACATAATGTTATACAATTAATAGATACAGAGAATATAAATGATTTAATATCGTCTCATAATCGAGCTGTTAAAGGACAAAATCGACAATGTTTAGCAATGGAATGTGTCGCTACGGGCACTTATTATTTTGCTAATCCAGATTTTGAAAAAATTGTATCTTGGGATCAAGTAAGAACTAATTAATTAAGTTGAATTTTATAATCTATCATTCGATTATTTATAGGATTTACTTATTTCGGTCATTGTTATTGATCCACCATTTAGTAATGCATGTTTCTATGTAACAAATACACAGTTTATTCCCAATATTCTTTACATTGCTCAAGTAAGATATAAAGATATCAAATAATTTTTGAATTAATTTTTATTGAACTTAACTTCTTAGAATGAAACTGTTTCATGGTCGTGGAATGAAAATGAATCACATTCCATTCAAGTACAATCGAATGATAATATACACAAACAAATTAATATAGTATGAATAATATGTTTCACGTTTAGACCTGTAAAAGTTCACGTTTCGTTCCTTGAACGTGAACGTTAAAGCACTGGTAAATGTGAGCTTTTTTTATACGAACGGTGTTCATATTGTCTGACATAAATATAAAATTCTGTTCTTGTACTGTAGTGAGAACATATATATTTCTGCTTGGTCTTATGTGATCAATAGAAACTCTAGTGAACGATCAGATGGTCTGCTCAGGGCAGTGACCAAATTATTGCAATGTAAAAAGGATAGCCACTGGTTCTCTGATCAAGACATTGATTCTTCCAAGAACAGATCGCCGATTTCCTCACCAGACGACTAGTTTTTCATGCAGTGGAATCGAAGTTCCTTGGCCCAAACCATTTCACCACATATGTTTTCCATTGTTATCGTAATCCATTTGGGGCAAACGACCGTTGATTTTTCACTAAATAATAACTGGTAATGGAGAGAAAGCTGTTTTACTTTGTGTACTACTAAGTGAAATTGCTATATAACGTTTTGCAATACTATTCATTCCACACAAGATCAACATCGTTCATATAAAATAAAGTTTACGTTCACCAGACGATTCGCGTTCACATTCAAAAAATTGTCATTTGTAACGCGAATGTACTTTAGCGTTACGTTCAAAGAGAACGCTAAAAAAGGAACGCTGAACTTTTCCAAGCCTATTCACGTTGTGATCTATTTAATCTTAATTTTATTTCTTTTTTTTCTTCTAGCGTCAACAAGTTGATGTGCCATTTAATCAATATGAGTTCGATACAAATTATTTATACACATTCTATGAATGTGGCACATATCAAATAACATCAGATCGCTTTCAAGAATCAGCAACAGTTGTTGTATATTCCGAAAGTTCTATCAAAACGTACAGTTAGTATACTAAATAATTTTTCTCTAAAATGAATACGAATGAATGATTCTTTCTCTTTCTTCAGAAAGACGTTTACAAGAGCCAAAAGTTGTTGGAGAGCTTCCGATTTCTTGTCCATTTGGTGATAAAATTCGATTAGAATCTCCAGATCGATTTGTGACAATTTATTATACACTTGACGGCCGCATTCCAACAAGACGACATGAAGATGTTCAAGTATGAATTATTAGGTCTATAGAAACGAAAATTTATCTACTGTTGTTATATCTGCATTTTAGATTTACAATCCTGATGAACGTATTTCATTAGTGAAACCTGGTTTACTTGTTATTCGAGCTTATTCAACTGAAGATCAAAAATTAGCAAGTGCTGTAACAACGACATGGTAATGATAAAAAAATATCAAAATGAAACTGTGACTTTTTTGTGTATAACTTTACTATTTTAGGCCTATACTTGTGATGGAAAATGAAGGACTTAATGTGAGTCATTTGCTATCGCTTTATTGATTCTCACAAAGAAACTGCGTTGTCTCTTTGCAGAATGCTACAACAATGTGGAAAAATTGTAACATAAGTTTAACAGCTTCGTTAGCACGGCCAAATAAAATCTATGGAGAAATTCATGTTGAACCAGAATATTGTGATTTGATCGATCATTTTGAAGTGTGTGTTGACGATCATGTATGTTTCTCTAATTCATTTCTACGCATTTCTTTAGCTTTATGTGGACGATGTTGCACGAGGAACAAATTTGAATTCATATGAATTAAATTTTGCTGCTGGTGGTTTTGCTGGAGGTAAACAATATGAAATTCATATTGTCGCATATCCCATTGACATAATAGTGAATGAGCAACCAATCGTATCGAATAAACGAGTATGTTTCTCTGTTGAAGAAATATCTGATCAATATTTTGAGGTTCTATATTTTAAAGATGTTCGAAATCAGCAAGGAAGTCAATAGCGGAGCGCCATTAATCAGTTTAGGTAACGTTGAAGCTGCCCTTAATAGTCTAATACGTTTACATTCATGTTTAGCGGAGAAAGAATTTTAAGTAATTAAGGGTCCCCTCCCCACTCAGAAATTAACTCTGACACAGTACATCCGATCTTGACGAAACTTTCCATAAATGTTACCCACAATGAGTTACGAAAACGAAAAACTTTTTTCGTCTCCAAGTCTTACGGTTTAAGAGTTTTCCGGAGATTAAGGTCCAAAAAAGATCCTGAAGTGCGTCTCAAGATTTTTTAATATACTTCAAGCTGAAGAGTTGGGGTTTGTTTTATTTTAAGTTAGACACCTAACTACATGGACTGGCAGGCGCTGATTTTTTAATTAAGCCTTTATTGATTCTCCAGGTCACCAACAACCTCTAAAACTCGAAAAAGCCTTCCGGATTTTCTAAAAATCCTCTATTTGACAAAAAACTAGGACCTAATTCAAAAATCGACGCCGGTCAGTTCATGTAGTTTCTTTTTCTCTTTTGAACAAAAAAAGAATGAACTCTCTACGACAAGCCACTATTAAAAATCTTGGGACGCACTTTAAGTGTAACTCTTATATAGAGAAAACGCTGTATGAAATACCCGATTTTAGGACTTCTACGAAAATGCCTGTAACTTTTTGATGCAAGGTCATACAGAGTTGTGCGAGGTCTTATTCTGATCAAAAACGTTTGCTCTACAAAGCTTTATGTTCAGAAAATTTTTAATTACATAAGTATCCAGAAAAAAGCTAATACTTGAAGATCCGACTTTTTGAGGCTCTAAGAAAACTTGCTCAGAATCCTCGAACGACCAGTTTTATAACCAAAAGCAATACAGATTCTAGACGTAGACACTTTAGGCTATCTTTCCATGTGTGTATCTCAAAACCGATTTTTTGACCGAAAATCACCATTTCTGAGAGGGGAGGCCCTTAAGTATGTTCTTCTACACACTAAACAAATCAATTACAATAGGACACATAAATGTTGTGGGAACGTATGAGCGTCGACAATAAATGATTTATGTCTGTTAAGAATGTAAATGATTGTAATTCATTTTTTTTGCAGCTGTTACCGATCAATCGAGCACAATATTTCTTATGTGGGCTCACATCGGTGATCATGTTAGCGAATATGCTATTTATGTGGATAATATTGACACAAAACATGTAAGAACAGAATTTTTTGATTTTTGTGATAGTAATGATTGAAATATGGTATTAATTTTAGCTTACTGAAAAAGAGTTTAAAGATTTTTTTGGAATAAAATTTCTTGGAGCAACTCCAAAAAAGAAATACTCAGTGCACGTAGAAGCAAAATTGAATGGTAAATAATAAAGAAATCAATACAAGAAGTTAGGAAATGTTGTTACTATTTCGATTTAGATAGCAATCAAATTCTGAAATCAAACGTCATGTCGGTAAAACTACCATTAGAAATGCCATTGAAAGAACAAATAATAGATGGTTATTTTCCGTACATCAGTATTAATACGGATAAACCAACGCCTGATATGAATTTGGAAAGTACGTAGTGTTGTTATGTAACAGTGAAGGAAGTGCTGAATAATCATGTTGCTTATGTAACTCATCTTCGATCTGCTGCTTGCCTTCTAAATAGTTCGCTTCTATGAATAACTACTATTTTGATCATATAATATACAAATTTTGAGAATCATACTTGAGCTTACATAAAAGGCTGCAGTAATCTGCTTTTTATACCTAGTGACTTTAAAATCGAAGACAAACTTGAACCCACCTACGGTGCGCGAAGATTTCGAAGACGCAATAAGTCTTTGTCAGACAAATAGACCGAAAGACATTCATCTAACACAGACATCTATAACACTATATGCACTATAATACATCGTTCTCGAAAGGGACACATCATATTTTTCAGACAATTGAAGAGAATTGAACTGAGTGACAAATTTCTTGTTCAAAAACTTTCGAATCCCAGATAGATTACTTAGATGGATAGAATAATATTTAAAGCGAAGAAAGTGATGGTTTTATTCTGCTTGTGTTCACACCTTTTGTTCTCTATAACCAAGATAATTTCAGTCGAAATAATGAAACCAGCAGAACTATCGTTATTCAGAGCTTAATCAAAATCAGCCTTACATCAGATCACAGTATGTAGGTAGATAATTAAAGCATCGGCCAAACGAAGTCAAGTTCAGAATGTTTTTTTTTATTTTGTTTCTCTCTTAGTCACCGAATGATTTTTAATCTAAAAATAATGTACAAAAAAATTCGTTGTTAAGACACAAATTGTGCTTTTAGAATCGAAAAGGAGAAAAAATAGGTCAGAATATCCTAATGCAGATTTGATCAGCTTTTACCATTTTATCCACCAAAGATCTGTTTTCGCTGAAATCTCATGTAACGCTCCTAGAGGATGTCCAGTTTGCCTGGTCAGATACCTGTAAGTAGAAAAGTCCTTGCGTGTTTTCCTGGTCAGATCTGTTTTTCTCCTGATCAGTGAAAGAAATTAAGACCGCGAGCTTGCTGTATATATGCAAAAATTAGGTATTGTATATGTGTAAAAACTAGGTGTGCTGCTCGCTAATCGCTCATACTGCGCAAAAATTAGTAGAAACTCCGGAAGTTTTCTAGAGACCTTTTAATGTAACCATCAAATTCGGAATGTCGTTAGATATCTCTTGTGCAATACAGAAATCTCTAAGACATTACTTATCACCTATGAGAATAAGTTTGAAATTTCAAGTGTGTTACTATATACTACTTGACTTAGCAAAACAAAATGATGATTATGAAAAAAACCTGGTTCTGGTCTTGAACCTGACCAGTGTCTGTTTCTCAGAAAATACCAAGACCAGACCAAGATTTACTGTTTGTCTCATCAGTAGAAAAGACAGACTCTCTTGATCTGGCCTGATCACTTTCTTGCTCTGACCTTGAAGCTGACCAGAACAAGAAACAGAAAACAGATACCTGTAAGTAAATACGTCTTCACTCTGTTTTCAAGATCAAACCAACTGGATATTCTTTAGGGTCATTTCGAAGAATGAGATCCAGCACCTCTACTATACGCTGCTATTCAAAACTTCATTACTAAGTCGTGTTTTAGTTTTTTTCTTACAGATATCAGAAAAGTGAGGTTTACCACTGAGGCATTGGTTGTGCCATCGTTCTATCAGTTATGGTTGCCTAAAAATTGAACCAGGGGGTCGTATCACAAAAAAACTTAAGTCAGACTTAAATCTTCGTTATGTGCACTTACATGCTGATTTTATACACTTAAGTCAAAATTTGACTTTTAAGTTTGTTCGTGATACGATCCGCAGCAGACAGTGTTCAGGACAAGAGTAATAAAGTTTGACTGACTTTGCCTATCAATTGTGAAGTGAAAACTGATAAGGCTCAAGAAATTTTCTCTTACATCTTAACAAGTTAATTAATACACATCAGACGAGTATCTTTGAGACTCTTGCAATTTTTTTGACATTTTCTCCGTTCATTTTTTTAGACAGGTGTGATTCACCACCTGCCTCAAAACAAGAAAGTCGGATTACTACAGTCTTTTATCGGCCAAAGACAAATATTAACCAAACTAATACCGATATCCATAGTGGTATCATTATTAACCTTTCCACGTTACAAAATAATAATAACAATAATAAAGAATGGAAATATTTTCCGATCAAACAAAATATCGAGCTAAAATTTTATTTGAAAAAACAACTGCTCATTTTAATACGCGTGCAACTATTTGTATTCCAACAAGAGAAACATTTATTGTTATTCTTTCTCCATTTTTGAGGCTTGGGGTATTTCGTGATGTTGACTAATAAGGTTATTGAACTTCAGAAAGAAAAGGGCTGTTTCTTTGTAATAAAAGACTGTTTTTTATTTCAGCAATTAAATTTGAACGCTCACAATCCAAAGGAAAAGAAGCAGAATACACAATTCTAAGCTTACCCATTGTAAGTAGATTCGTCCATATAATATTATGATGGTACTTAAAGTGGTCTCATTTACAGAATAATATTCTTCGACATGTTGTACCAACTCTCTCATTCAAACGTAACAACAATGGTATTACATTGTATTGGACAAAAAAGACACCGTTAACACAAGATTCCATTGAAAACTATAGGGTGCGTTTTGATAATTATTTTATCAGACTTATCTACACGATTCTAACTATGCTGGAAGTAGTGAGAAACACTCATCGACTGTCAGAAGCCAATGCTGTTTTACCTTGTTTGCGAACTAACCTCATGTGAATCAGAGTTGTGGCCGACAAATAATTTTCCAATCGATTCGGTCGATTGAAAAATTTTCTGTTCCAATCAAATTCCGGTATTTTTCAAAAAAAAGGTTTTTTCGACACACGACAAAATTTCGGTGACAACACGTCAGCTTTTTTCTTTATTAATAAGAGAAGTACATTTTCACGATTTTTTGAGGAAAAACTGGAGCAAATTTCATAAAATTTTTCAAATGCTGCCACTGGAAAGTATATCCTCGTAAAAAACTGGTCGGTTGAACTTTTCAATCGGTCCGAGCAGTTATAACTCTGCTGTAAAAAGAATATTAAGCTATTTTAGCTAAGGGAAAAGATCGACAAAATGGTGTCAACACCAGAAAATGATCATTCTCTGATATAATGGAACGTACTTTCGTCTGTTCCACAAGCAAAATATAAATTAATTATACAATAGTTGAAAAAATATCCAATTTAAATCGATGCATTAAGCGAGACGGGCGTGTATGCCTTATAGAATTGAATATAGTATTATTCATTCAGGAGTAGGAAATCAACATAAAATCAAAATAACACATGGAATGACGATATTTTTAAATAAGACAACATCATATGTATAGAATAGTTCTAGTTCAGTATCAGAAGCGGTTAATTCCAGAACTATAAAGATTAGACTAATGTGTAAGTGCATACCACAGTGAATCCATCATATACACCGAAGATTGAAATACAACAAATGTTTTCGACGATCGATGAATACCATAGCGATGGGTAATTTTAATTCATCAACTTAATATCAACAGAATCAGACAGTTAATGATCATCGCTAGATACACAACAACAGATTAATTGAAATGTTTCAAATAACATTGAAAATTAGTGGAGTACTTGAGTGTTCTGGTTCTATATGTTATGTATGAGAATTATGCTGAGACTATAAAATATTCTTTTTACAGCGCTGTTGAACATTTTCGAAAGCGACAAGTAGTATAAACACTACTATCTGTTTCAAAATATAGTTAACCGATGAAATCCTTCGCATTTTTTGAATGACAAGATCGTTGTGAAAGTAAACTAGAGGATAAATATAAAAATGATAGGTCTCTATTAAAATTGGCGAAAAAAAAATTGGCGTACAATAAATTTCATATAGAAATGCAATAAGCTGGATAATGGATACTGCAATTAAATATCATGATTTATAGCCAGAACGTATGCCATAATTCACAAATTATGCAGAGTTAAAATAGTATTGAAAGTAATGCAACTAAAAGTGTACAATATAAAAATGGAAATTGACCAACAGTAGTGAAGATAGATTGAATAAATCGAAAGAATAATTTGTAAAATGCTGACTGTACATTTTCGATAGTTGACTTGTTGATATTTATCAAATTTCTTTCCTATCAATTGATTCACAAAAATAGATGAGGCAAAATATTAATTATCTTTAAACGAGATTGAGAATGTTATCAAACAAATGGAAACCTATAGAATATCAGATATGGAGAACGTAATTACTGAGTTACTCAAACCTGGGACAATGTAGTTGCATCAAATCATAGTGAATGTGTAGATGTGCAATGAAGAAATGACTTGTTAATAGATACATTTTATAAAAGCGAAGGGGACAAACGAATTTAACACAATTAGCGTGGAATCCCTACTACCAGTGACAAGTAAGTAAGTTTTCACTTCCATGATATTAACGCGAATTCAAACAAAAGTTGATCAAAAATACTGGAAGCACAAGCTGATTTTTGCTAAAGAAGACAAATAATAGATTAAATATTCACAGTGAAGTGAATTATGGATAAATCTTTGGAAGTATGACCAATGGTTATATATATATTTTATTGATTTTTAAAAAGTATATGACTTAGTTAATAAAAAAGTATTATAAATATGTTGAAGTTATGGTATAAAAGACAAACTTATCATATCGATTAAACTTCTCTATTAAAATACTAGAGCTGTAGTATAAATTGATGGCGAAAACAAGAGGCAATAATACGATTAATAATGATGCAGCAAACAATGTTATGATTATGTGTGAAAATGCTCAATCTATTCAAATATTTATACAGGCACTCGATAAATTATACAAGAATTTAATTTAGTGATGAGAATCATAAAATGTATATACGACGTCTCTAGGAAAAATGGAAGAGATGATACACTCAAGAAATGATAATCATCACAAAAGTTGATTATGGCTCTTCCAGTATCTTAATATGGATAGGAAGATCAAAAAATTAAAAAAGCTCATACATGTGCGATAAACATATTGTCGTGAGATCATAAATACAAACAGAACTTATTAAAGTATCAATGATTTTCAGCATGCTTCGAAATGTAATCTTGGACTGGAAAACTATATTGGTTGAAATAGAGCTAAGAATATCTCTTTCATGTATTTTATGTCCACATTATTATATGGAAGTGTGAAATGTAAGCACCTATCATTATTCCAGGCTTGCAATACAAGTTGCATAAGAACACTAATGAATGTCACATTATTGATGATGAAATGTCAAACGTTTTTTTATTTTGTGAATACCTGATGATCTCAATATGGCGTCAAAAAATGATGGCTTATCAAATTACGGATAATTTTCTACAAAAAAATTTTTTTAATTGAAATTAAAAACGAAAAATAAAATCCCTTGATCAAACATTAGTAATCTAATATAATGGATAAAAATATTCGAGCATAATCAATAAGAACAAAAATAAAATCGTACAATAGTATAAAGATCAAGTTATGAAAAGACGAGAAGAGAACCAAATATTATTAGGTGATAAAGTAAAACAAAATACAAGCACAGAGTATTGTAAAAGATAATGTGTGCTCTCATTATGGCAAAATTTAAAAACGAAGAAAGTGTAAAAATCATCTTAGAACTTATCACAAAAAATACTCATACAACATTCATATATAACTTCTCAAGATACTCAACAATGTACAATTATATTATTGAGCAAAAACATCAGTAAAGAATATGCCCGAAGTGTGAAGGATCGTTTAAACCACAGGCACTACCTATCGCGTTAAGTCATGTACGAAGAAATGATGTAACCATAAGAATATAACAATAAATTGTGCAGCTCTTAAGAGAATTTTGTAAAAGAATAAAATATCTCAAAAGTGAAACAAGAACAATGAAATTAACCTTGTCGAACAGCTAAATACTATGATGGATGCTGCAGAAAGAAAAGTTTGTATGGGATTTGAAAATGTTAAACTGAAATCATATTGAAACTTAACATGTACGATGATGACTGAACGTTTTCTTCGTCAAACAGAATAATTTGCATTCTCAAATTATGAGCAAGGAGTGTTCTAACATTAGAAATTAAATCCGCTTCTAATCACAACATTTTTTGTTTCTTATTTCATAAACGTTTTCCAGTAAGAGTATTTAATCTATCTATCTTTTATAATGTTTAGATTATGCTTGATAACAAAGAATATGGTCCTCCGATTTCACCATACGATGAAAAAAAATTTCAGGTCAATCTAGAACCTGGAAAACATGAATGCTATGTTTCCGTCATACCTAAAGATGAAACAGAAGAAATTTTGAAAACAAATGTTCTTGTATGTAAAATATTACATAAAACATTGACTTAAATAATTTGTATATAATATGAAATTCTGTTATTTTTCAGAAAATTGATGGACCACGAGAAATTCAAGTTAAAAAAAAAGATAGTTCTTCATCTAGTTCAATTGAAGTATGTGATGTGATAGAGTTTATTATGTAACAATAATAGAATTGCCTCCTATTTGTATAGAAAGCTTTACCACAACAAGATAGACCAATACCAAAATTGAGTATACAAATCATTAGCTCATCAGCTATCAGAACGAATTGGTATATGGATCGACCACTTCAACAAGATGTCTATTTAGCCATGTATGAAGTACATGTTCGTGGAACTGATTTTCCAGAAAAAATGAAAAGTGATGAAAGGTATGTAGAAAGTTATTTATTTGATAAAACTAAAAGAAAATACTTGTAATTTTCATCAAATAACTTAGTTTTACGAATAATGGATCAACCGAACATGTGTGGTTCGTCATTAAACCTCCTCTAGAAATAGAAGGTATCTCAGAGCAAATTAATTATACGTAAGTTTTTATTATTATAAAACTTTAAAAGTAAAATAAATATTATCTCTGTATATTCAGGATATTTGTTCGTGCTTTCTTCCATATGATTGGAAATACCGATATAAAATATGTGTCTACAACATCAGTTGAGCTGAATACATCACAGTTAGATCCGTTGGCAGAATTACTCATTCGTCCATTACTTAAAGTTTCACAAATTGGAAATCAAAGTGTAAGTTACAAATGAATAATCTGTCAATGATCTCCTTGAATTGATGGATTCTTTTTATATTTCAGGTTACTATTGTATGGTCAATAGATCCGTCGGTCGATAAATCATTAATTAAAGGTTATCGTTTAATCATCAATCGGAAGCCAAGTGAAATTTTTACACCAAATCAATATGAATATGAATTAAACAATATATCACCTGGTACTTCATATTCACTTCTATAAGGTATAAGATTTTTTGTATTTATTACTCTTTTACAAGGCAGTACAAATGAAATTCAAGTATCTGTTACATCACACCCAGATTGGATTAATGAGAAGATTTCTGAATCCGTACACATTTTTTGTCCAAAAAAGCCTTCACCGCCGAAAATTATCGCTTATCAGTCAATGAAATTACATGGTATTGCAGTCAAATGGGAAAGAGAGAATGATGATATAGTTTCATACAAGTACGTATTTAACATTTATTTAAATATTATAGTCGATCGAATTTTTACTAATAGAATTTTTCTCGATGAAAAACAACATGACGAATTACAAACAAATGATCGTACATCATTCACATATGAAATTAACAATTTGAAACCAGGTCAAACATATTCATTCTATATAAAGGTATAACTATTTGCATTTGTTTATTCTAATAGTAAAAATTTTATTATCAATTTATATAGGCTGTAATTGGTCAAAAAAAATTGGAGGGTTATATATATCAATGTCAGATAGAAAGTCTACCATCGAATGAATTGTCTCTGAAATGTTCAGCTCCACCTAAAATTTCACCACCACGTCTAGAACGAATGTCTAGTCATGGCATTGATATTGTATGGGATACACCTGTCGAATATGGTGATGCTAAATTAACGGTAACTTGTAACTACTTATAAATCATCATACTATAGTTATTGTATGATTTTATAGGGCTATCAAATATTGAAAGATGGAAAAGCTGTTGGCAAACAATTGCCGGTCGAAAAATGTCATGCTACAATAACAGATTTAGAAGTTGGTAATCGTTATTCTATACAAGTTGTACCATTGATAGATCATCCAAGTAGAAAGTCATTTCAAATTGGAGAAGGTAAAAATTATTTTTTAGTTTAGAATATTAATAGTATAAAGATTTACTTATTTTGTTTAAGAATATGATCCTGAGAGACATTGTCATGCAGGACCAACACTAGATGTTGAATATACAGATTTAATTGAAATACCCGAAAAAATTTGGATTGAAAATGCAAAAGGACACGGAGCCGTTGTTTGTTGGACACCATGTAAGCGAATTATACTCTCTCTATTTTTATATCAATATTTTTGAAAATGTTTTTTATTCTTGATTAGTAAATAGTTCATTAAGTGTCAACACACTACCAGATAGCTATAAATTATATTACTGGTCTCGAGATCAAACTCGTAATGAAGCAACAATATTACAAGTATCTAGTGAGTATGATTCGATTATTATGTGCAAAACATTGTTAAACAAATACATTATTTTAGAAACCGAAACAAACAAAGATTTAACTGATCTTAAATCATCAACTGGATATGAAATTATTTTAGAAGGTTCAAAACGACGTCGTCATCATATAACAAATGGTAGAGAATTTAATTTTTTCTGTATGTTGAATATCTGTTTTATGTATCTTTTTTCTACAGAACAATATGTTGTTGTTGCAACATCAAATTCAATAACATTGTACACCGGTTCTCCACCAGATCCTCCCACATCTTTTCTAGTCATAGCCTGTACAAACAATGCAGCTCGCATTTCTTGGGATTCATTTTTAGAGCATAACTCTGAAATCGTTGGTATGTATAAGTAAATTATAGTAAAAAGTATTTTTTTATCTTCACTTTCTCATTCTTTTTCTAGCTCTACGAATAGATTGTGTCGCTGCTAATCAATCATTACAAGATAGCCGGCATCTGACACTTGAATTGACACCAGATTCAACAGAAGTTATTTTACCAAATCTATCTGAACGTACAGAATATATAGTAACAGTTACAGCTATAACAGATGAATATTTATTTAAAAATAAAATCCGTGATATATCACAACTACCAAAAAAATTAAAGCCAGATAAATGGTTACCAAATAAAAGTTTAAACTTTACAACCGGTGGTGCTGAAGCGGCAACCAAATTACAATTTAAAGTTCGTAATTTTGATTCAATTCAATTAGATTGGACACAGCCAAAAGCATATGGTTCAACACGTCTTATTGGTCAATGTATTCGATGGATGCTTGAGAATAGTAATGAGCATACATTAGATATTGATCCATTAACTACATCAACAGTCATCAATGGACTATTACCGTCAGGTTATTATACGATAAATTTAGATTCGATATTTAGTGTAAAAATTAATTTGGAACCAGATAATAATAATGACAGTGGAAGAAAACAAGTACTACATTCAACAAATGAATTAACCATGCTTCATTTTCAAATGCCAGCTATGTGTGAAAAACCTGAATTATATTTGACAGGATACAGTACAAAAACAATTAATTTTGCATGGAATAAACCAAACATGTTCACTGTTATTGATCATCCAGAAAAAGTACATGAACAAGTTAAATTTCATCGTCATTTATTGGAATATCGAATTGATGTCAATGGACAGAGACAGTGTACACTTAATAATGATCAACATCAATATACATTAACAGAATGCATACCAACTAAGGAATATAAAGTTCAATTATATGCTAGAACAGTATTGCAAACAGACTCTGAAAGTGACAAGGTAATTTGTTATTTAATTCATATCAAAAAAGATCTTTTAAATAATGCGTTATCTTTATTTTAGTTATCAATAAAACCTAAAGATACAACTGATGATGATGCGGACGAGACACCATCAAAAAAATTTCGAATTCGTACATTAAGTGGAAAAGGTAAAACTATTATTATTCTATGTGTACATACCACCGTTGACATATTTGTTTTTTATTTAGATATACTAAAATCTTTACAAGCCAATTTTGAATTTTATGATTCTGTTATCAATGAAAATAATCGTGAAAAAAAAAATGACGTAAAATCGTTGGGAAAAATACGTATACAATGGACTGTCACAGAGAAACGAAATATATCACATTATATTTTACAATGGCGTTCGTCCAAAGACCTACGTATTCAACAATTAACTTTAAATAATAATGAAGTAGAATATGTATTAGATTCATGTGATGAAAAACATTTTTATACTATTGAATTATTTATTATCACAAATGATGGTACACGAAAACAATATAATCAATTAATAGTACCTGTGCCCGGAGCACCAGATGCACCCAAATTATGGTTAGTTAAAACAACCGATGATAATTTCATTATTGAATGGTCAGAACCAAAATCATATGGAATACCAATTATTGGCTTTCAGTTGTTCATTGGAGGAAAGAAAGCATATGACATCATTAAAGCTAATCTTAGACGAGCTGAAATTCCATCATACATCAATCGTACATATCAAGTTAGTATATGTGCTGTGACAAATAATCCACAACGAAGTCTATCTGCCAAGTCTCAAACCCTAACTATCATTACAACATCCTCAACAAATTTAGCGCCAACAGCATCTTTTGATAATACTAATAACGATATTTTCAATAAAACTTTTGCACGTACAATTCCAGTACAAGTCGATTCGATCAATGAAGAAAAGTTATACGTTGATTGGTCGTCATTTCTACCATCAAAGGAAATTCGAGCTTACTACATACAATACAGATGTTTGAATAATGGTGATATACGAGCGACAAAAGTGTCGAAACGTCAACGACACACGGTACGTGTGTTACATAGGATCCGTTTGAATATGTTCACTTTTCTGATCTATTGTAGGTTCTGAAAGGATTAAAACCTACTTATACTTATGCAATTATAGTAATGGCTGTAGATAAAAATCATGGTGTTCTTTATACGTCAGATAAAACAACTGTTCAGATGTTAGCACCACCAAATGCACCATGGGTAACTATCCGGTAAGTAACTCTTTGTATGTGTATGAGAGTAGATGTATCATAGTTATTCTAAATGTAAAACAATTTAATATGGTTTAGTGATCGAGCAATTGATCATGTTACAATCGAATGGAAATCATCTATGAGTAATGATGATCTTAATGTGATTGGCTATAAAATATTTATTAATAATAAACTGGCAGCTATACTTTTATATGATCAGTTAGCGTATACTTTATCAAATGGTACTCCATGTGAAACATATACAATACATGTACAAGCAATAAGTAAGGACAAAACAATAACAAGTCCAATGTCACATAGTTTACAGTTTACGTGGCCTGGAATACGACCAGGACGCTTGCGTCGGATAAACAATGATCAATTGGGTCCAATAACGATTGCCTGGGATGATCCTCGATTGGAGGAAAGCGACAATTTAGTTGCTTTTAAGGTAGGAGAGATATTATTTATCTTCATTTCTCTTCTGCATATACGATACTGAATGGTTCTATTTACAAGGTGTTTTCTGAAAATGCAGCCACTCATCAAATACGGACACATGGTGATTGGGATAGTACAACTCGTCAAGCACAAATTCATGGTTTATCCAATGGAAAATATCGTATATGGCTCGAAATACAAAGTACTCAGTATAGTGTTCGTTCAAGACCACTATCGGTGTTAATAGGGAAATCTACTTCTCAACTACATCGTCGGTCGTCATTTGATGCAGCAAAATGTTATTATGGAAAAAGACAAAAACCGTAAAAATTAGCTTTTATTACATAACTCTTTTGACCCGTACTGTAGCTATTATGACTAAACAAAAATCTCTTAACGATGAAAAATTGAGATCTTTAGTAGTCTAGGTGTGAAAAGGTAATATTTTAACCCTCATTTAAAAATATTATCAATGATAATTTGAAGCGTCTTTTTCTCTGATTTGTTCTCTGCTTTGAGGTTGAAAAAGAAAAAAGTCTTAGTTGCTAGAGTTGTTCGATAGAGTTCTGAATAATTAACCTATAAAATCGAACCGAAGTATTAAAGGTGTTTTTTTCTTGTAAGCGATTTATCTAATCCTAATACATCTCAACGACATGATTCACTAGAAGGATACACAACAAACATTCTGTCTTAGTATCACAATCTGTTATTTTGCACCAAGACGAGAATTTAGCTAGAAGATCTTGTTTAACGGCAAATATATCAGAAACAGTAGATTTGTTTTATTTGTGGTGAAGTTCGAGCTTAGATTCTGAAAGTGTAAAACTATAAGATTCTATTTGCTAAAATTCTGTTTGGAATATTAATTTCAAACTCGGATGCAAATAAATAAAGCTAAATGTATGTATTTACTTTAGATTTCGATCATCAACTCAAAGTATAACACCAATTTTTGCTACAAAATGACTACTTTATTAAAATTAGTTCAAGCACAATCTGTGATATTTCTGATGATAAATAACTATCGTATCTTCGATGATATAGTTTTTTTACTGACTCAAAATTAGTAGTCCCACTTTTTTTCCTTCCTATGCATAAAGTATTTTCTTTTTAATACTTAAACATTTGTCGTAATTCTTTATTCAATAAATTCGTGTTGCATCTGTGTTATGTTCTTGAAAAGAGCTTTTTATTCACGAATTTCTTACTGATAATACTTTCAATATATTTTTTACACCCCCATATATCTAAAGTTAACATATTTTCTTATTTAACTTCGTTCAGTGCTTTTGCTAAATGTTTTTGAAGTGTTTTTCTTTCCGATAATACTTTTATGTGTGTCCTACTTCGACTAGAATTCATTAATTTTTTTATAATCATCGACTTTTTGTTCATGTAATTGTTGTTCTATAAAAATGAAACTGTTTCAATTTTTGGCAGAAAGGTAGTGGAATGGACGTGTACAGTAAAATATTCATTGTCGCTCAGACTTTGATGTCGATAAAAATAATTTGGCTTTCTTTACCGAACCCTATTAAACACAGTGGCGTTATCCTCACCTGAATATTTGAAGCATTTTGTACCACCTCGAAGGTAACTACCTGAAAAATTAATTTATACAGCAAAAAAGCGTATCACCTTACGTTTGTTTCAGGCATTGCGCCTCAAACGTCTCACAGTATAGACGCCCCAGAGTTACACAAATCGAAGTTTGATATGCGAAAAAATGAGTTTATATTTATTGAAAAAAAGAAAAGAATACTCGACGTGTTAATTGATAATGTTTAAAGTGAGTCTTAGAAACAATGTAAAAAATAAAGTTATGTGTGCGAATAATATGTTTAATCTAGAGGGTACCAAGCAAATTCAAGGCAAACCATTTTCAAAGCCTGCCAATGCATTTAATTGATCACAAAACGAGATATAATCAATGTCGTCTCGACCACCAATTTTTACTCGATATTTTTCTAATAAATTTTCTTTTTCAAATCCATTTGTCATTGGTAATAAACCCAGGTCATTTAAAACACGTAAAAATTGATTTTGACTTACATAACCTAAAATAAGCAAAGAAAGGAATTTTATATAAAAAAAAATTTACGCACTCTGATCTACAACGTATACAACAGTGATTGTTTGTTTTTGTTCAACATACCATTGTGAATTCTATCAAAGTCTTCGAACAATGGAAATAATTGTAATCGCCGTGAATGTACCTAAAAGAATGAAATAAAACATGATAATAAAAATATGTGCGAAAATAGATTAGAATCATACTCTATATGCTAATTTTTCCAATAATTGTTTTACACGATCTTCTTTATCTGGATCCATTCGAATTTCACTTGCTTCTTTTTGTACCTGATATGGATCATTATGAACAAGTGGATTTTTTTCAAGAAAATCTGTGGTGAATATCGATTCAATTTCATCACAAAATTTTTTATATTCAATTACACCACTGTCCACTCTTGAGCGATAACTAGAACAATAAAATTATCTGTCTCGGATAATTTGAAAAAATACTTTGAATCTATTTATTTAGTTTCAACCGATCGTCCCCTCTAATCAAAGTTGTATTAAAAATCTCTGCAACATATATGTAGAGCATATTTTTTAACCTGATGTAGTCTTAAAAAAATGCTAATCGAAAAAAGTCAACGCTCTATCATTGAAAATGTCCATTTTAGCTGAATATTTGATGAATTATAAATTTATTTACATATTTTTGTTTCAATGAATATAATGTCCGGCAGTTTTTACGTATTGCATACAAGACAATGATGTAACTTTCCTACTGGAATCTCCTGTAACCAAGATCCTGACTTTTTGATCTTTTTCCAGTAAGATCTTGATAAAAATTAAAAATTAAAAAAATTCCAAAAATTTAAGATCTTGATAAATCTTCTACATCATTTTGTGTCACACTCTTGTTTACATATAAGTATCAAAGTTTTCTCACTAAGAATAACTCTGAAAATTTTTCTTGCTTGAACATATGAATAAGAAAAAAAGCCTTAGCATTTTTGCTATGTTGTCCTTTATGTCAAAGATAATTCAGTAGCGCTTCAACCTTTTGAACTCAAATTTTTAGCATAACTTATTTAAATCGTAGGCATTAACATATGTAAGTTTCATTCAGATTGTTTGTAGAACAAAAAGATTTTTCTTCCGGGAGGATCCCCTTAAAAAAAAGACTGATTCGACAGTGATCTATTTTTTGAGTGAATTAAAGTTCGATAGTATTTTTCGATCGGCGCTTAACTTTATCTAATATTACTCAGAACACTATCATGAGTAATAGCCCCGAATATACCATATCTTTTACTGGATGTGCTATTCACTCAGAATAGAAACGTTTTTAACGAGAAATTAGAGTTTAGTATCCCGAGAGATCTTAGACTTGTATCTCAATTACCCAAAGACTCAATATACTCTGAAATCATACACCTCTTCATCTGAGTGAAGGTTGAGTTGAGTTTATTTTGTGGCAAGATCCATAGATGACAGAAAAGAAAACAAATCAACGAAAGTCGAGTATAATATGCGATGGTTACCATCGTATGCTTAATGACAATTTTTAAAACTTTTTAAAACGATTAACTCAGAAAATGGCAAAAAGAGAAATTCCATAAGACATCCTACTAGAAAAATATTTTCCGTCGCGGCATCTTTTTCCAGTAGTGTGTTTTATCGTATGTCTAATGTCTGTAGGTGTCATATACGGAAAGAAAGTGTAAACAAATTTTACCCTAAGACTGTGAAATATGTTGTCCGATTCTTCGCTCAAGATCATAAAATTTCTGTTTGTCAGATCTTAGTTTCAAGAAGTTTGACTAGGATTTTTACCATAAAGGAGTAAGCTAAATATTGAGGGTATTACTACTACTGGTCTCATTAGCCAACTATTTTGATAAGTAATGAACGTTCCATTCATGATGCGTCCAATGTAACGCGTCATACTGCTCGTACTAAGTTACAGAGAGAATGTATACTTAAAATCCGACTTTCAAATTTTGACTTGAAACTTGCCACACTGGTAGCCCATGGTCATAGTAGTACGGCGGGAAAAAATTCGATCCTAATGAATTTTCCTACCTTGAGATATTGAGACTCGAATATTCCACCTGAAGGTGAGAGTGAGGGTCAGATGTTCGAGTCTCAATATCTCAAGGTAGGAAAATTCATTAGGATCGAATTTTTTCCCGCCGTACTACTATGACCATGGGCTACCAGTGTGGCAAGTTTCAAGTCAAAATTCGAAAGTCGGATTTTGCTCGAAATTCAAGCTCTATAGGCAAAAACTGATTAAAAATTCAATATCTCAGCAACAAAGCACCATGGGGATGAATCAACTTTCACTACTCACCGAGGTCTACAAGATACAAGTAGTCCGAGTTCAAAAGCGATTTATAACCTCAAGAGGTTCCCTCGTAAGTGTAGTACTTTGACGATTATTAATCTGTAGAATTTCTTTCAATATATTTTCATGGTATCTTCTTGTAATACAGGATTTCTCGTATCTGCCAGATCTATCTTATCGTCAGAATTCATTATTATCTTCAAAATCGACAATAATATTGTACAAAGATGGCAAATGAACAAGACTCAATATGACAAAAAAAGACTGTACAAAAAGTAAATTAACTGAAGAAACAGTGAACCAAACAGTGCATCCGATCTCGGTGATGTATGTGTAGTTAATAACTATCTACTTGATTGTAAAAAGTATAATATGTACACCATCTTATAGTCAAACAGTTATTTATCTTTCTTCTGGAACTATTTACTAGTTTATTGCATCGATTGTATTCGATGGTGTCCTGTTGTTATAATGTATTCGCTCAAATTTTGACGAAAACTGATTCTGCCTAGGATCATAGAACATATAGATAGTTTTACTTAATTACTCGTGTTTATTCTTGCATTTTGAGTTTTAATTTAAATTATATTTTATGCATGCAAAAATATGTAGTTGAATAATTAATTTTGTGGAATAAAACATGAAACAATGTAATTATAATTATTCTTCTCGAGTTCTTTAAAAAATCGAATATTATAAACAAGAATTCTTTTTGAGACACAAGAGAAAAAAGTAGGTTGAAGAAAAAATCGAATAAACTTACTAATCTTCCAACAATGATAATTCACTTTCAAGTAATTCAAGATTACATGGATTAATTGCCCGTCGAAACGTATCACAAGGCAATCTTCCACAATTGAGTTTATCATGATCTTTTAACCATTCATACAAACGAATACGTCGACGATAAACCTGGTCATAAAGGAAGCGTATATTCTCTAAGTAGATTCCTATTTCGAATAGATATTTTAAAAGAAAGGATTTTCTATCAACTTATATAGTTTCTCTGAACATGATTCTTACAATTAGTCTTTGCTTAAACATAATAATTAAATATTAGATTTTCTCCATCAATGACAGTTCAAACTTCAGGATGATTGTAATTAGGCCAAAAGAAAATAATAATCTTACTTGTATTTTAATTTTTTGTAATACATCTTGAATACTCGTTAGAGGTTTATTTTCCGGCAGAACTCTTTGTTTACCCAAATCTTTTAACTCTTGTTGTAATATTGAATATTTTAATTGTTCTACTTTAATCGGTGAAATTGTTTCTAAAAATCGTCGATAATTGAAACCATCATCGTCTATAAAAGCTGATTCAACAGCCTCTAAATCTTTTTCAGTATATGGTAAACCAAGTATAGCTAATGATTGACGAAATTGTGCTCGTGTCACATGTCCACGATTATGTCTAAATAAGAGATTTGTCATAATCAATCATTTTTCTTTTTTTCAATTTAAAATGCAGGTTTTTCTATATACTTGTCAAATTGTCTAAATGGTTGATAGATATCTATTCGTTTCTGTAATACTTTCATTCTCCAACTTTCCATTGCCTGCTTCAATTCTTCCCTATTGAATGGATCAATATTAAATAAATCAGTTGTTCCAGGTGCTGGCATTTCGTAAATAGAAGTCTCTGGTACTTGTAAATCAGGCACTTTTTCAAGACCCGTTAAAGTAAATACTACAAGAGAAAAATTTTATAAAAATATGAAACATATTTAGATCAAATAGACAAACCAGATTCAATATCTTGTTCAAACTGTTTCCAAAGTACAAGATCGCGTTGTTCCGGATGACGATAATGATCACATAATGCTTGCATTTGTGGTACAGTTAACGGTACACCGTCAAGTCCCGTCAAACCTAGACTTGTTAGTACTCGTATAAATCGCGGTTCACTAATAGTACCAAGACGAAGTGGATCAAAATCTTCAAAAAATTCTTTCACCTAGATAAAACAGTTAAACTTTCATAATTTTATAATGAGATAAATTAAAGATCCAGTGTATATCTATTACAATATTACTGTGTTCAATACGTACACGTATTCGATTGATAAGAACATGATGTCGAATTCGTCCCATTAAATCTTTCATATTAACCATTGATGTATCAATTTTCAATATTTCAGCTTTTTTTTGACTAATATTTGCTTTTTCAAATTGAAATTCTTCTTCTCGATCAACTTTGATAGCAACAAAATCTATGAAAAATAATATTGTCTGTATAATTGAAATTAAAAGAATTTTAATTGTATCTCACCTGATTCAGCCATTTGACAAAATAGAGCATAATTAATATCGCCTGTTTCACGATCTTCAAATTTTTTGCACAGAATATTAAAATCATGAGGTGATGGTAAAAGATCTAATGTACGAAGCACTAACAGAACAAAATAATTATAGAAATTAAAATTGTATTATTTTATCAAAATATTTAATTTATTTAAAATGAACTTTAAAATATGTTTTACCTCGTCCAAATTGATGTTTTGAGCATGCACGTGTAAATGCTTTACTCTAGAAAATAGACAATATGTTTTATTACTACAATTTGATTGATAATAAGTGTATATGCTTACTCTATCATATGGTTTGAAAAATGGAAATAAAATAAGTCTTCGTTTTTGAACTTTTTCTGTTATATTTTCTAATATAGAACGTACACGATCGTCCTCATCAGGCGTCAAATTTGTATTTAATTGCTACATAAAAAATTTTTTTTATTCTTCTTTAAATTATGAAATATCAAAAATTTGAAAGATATTTACTCGTGATAAAGCACCATGTCCCGGTCGAAACACCTGTGTAAGTGGTTTTTTCTCCAATTCCGGAATATTAAACGCTATTTAATAAAAAAAAATAATTAATTAGAAATCAAAAAGGTGAGAATACAAACCATTTTCCATTGAATCAACAAATTCTTTGTAATAAATTCGACCATCAGGTCTTCGATAATATTCTGATAATTTTTTTATATCATTCATATTTAAATAAGCTTGTTTTTGAACGGATAATGATAATGCACTTTCAAATTGTGTTTCTTGAATAATACCACTACGTAATTTATCATAATCTTTAAAAAAATCACCTATACGTATGCCATTTCGAAAGACAACAATACGAATTTTGTCTAATATTTCTTGTATTGATCGTTGATCACTCTTAAAATTTTTATAGAATAATACTAATGTATGTGCATACAATAAATAAAACTATGTCTAAACTTTACTTTATTTTCCATTCCCACAAAATAAGATCCATCTGCTCCTTGACCATCAACCATTTGATTGAAACGTTCACTATTCTCTATTGTTTTTGTGGTAACGTTCAAATCATTAACAAAATTCAAATAATTTATTAAACCAGCCTTTTCTGGATCAGAATACTTGTCTCTTAATACGGTCATTTCTCTTTCTGTTAAATTTGGACCCGGAAATGCTCGATAAAACTGGAACATATCAATAAAAAGAAATAGATAAATTATTAATAAAAATTTTCTACGTACTTGTGAATCTGTAATACATCCCATTTTATGTTTATCATATTGTTCCATTATTGTCAAAACATCGATACCACGTTGTTTATAATAAATTGCAATTCGTTTTAATAATAATTGTAATTGTTCAAATTCTTCTTGTTCTGATATGTGTCGTGTAGATACTCTAGAATTTAAATATGGTGGAGCATTGTTAATTAAATCATCTGGATGTGGTGTTAATGTTGTTTCAGGATATTCTAAAAATAGAAACAGTTCTTTGAAATATATACTCTTGTAATTTTTATATTATGTTCTTACTTCGATTGATAATATCACAAAATTCTCTGTAACAAATGGTTCCATCACCTTTTAAATCATATTTTGAGAATAATAATTCTTCTTCCGTTGATGATAATCTCAATCGTAAATTTGTGTCCAAACATCGTTTAAATTGAGATCCTAGATACATTGAATTAGTACAATGTATAGTTTTGTAAAAGAAAAAGAAAGTGACTAACTTGTAACATATCCAGAACGCAGACGATCAAAATCATGAAAAAACTCGGTAATTCTTAATCCTAACGAAATTGATTTTACTCGAATCTTGTCTTCTACATTTTGAATTATTGTTCGAGTTTCAATTGGTGAATATGTGGATGATTCATTTCCGCTACTACAGAAGAAATAATGTTATTTAGAGATTTGATTACCATTCTGGAGAAAATTACTTTGCATTTTTTTCACTTTTCTCAATTAAAAAAATTCTCAATCTTTCATACGTCCTTTAACAACATCCGACTGAGAAACAACAGACTTATAATGCTTGACGCTACAGATGATTGCCATAGAATATGTTTTTTTACATGAATAAGAAAGAATTATTAAAATTGACTTACTTGACGTTTGTAGCCACAACCATTCCGTTCGTGCGTTTGTCAGAAAATCGACTTTCTGCTAACAAAAGAACATTAGTTCAACAACTGTAAGGTATGGACTGATTAATTCCGACTCAACTACAGTATTTGAGTTCTGTTGACTCAATAACTCTAAATAATAAACAGATAAAACTCAGCAGCACTTATGTTAAGTGGGAAATAGAAGATTTTGTGACTTTTATAATCTGGGCTCCGTTCCACAGGCAATCAACTTTTTTTAAATTTTGTTGTACTTCTGGAGACTTCTTGGTATTCTTCGTGACTTCGTTTCGCTGATTTTCCTGACTGTTTTTGAATTTTCCCGCGTTTTTCCGCTAAGCCCCATTTTCAGTAATTTTTGCAGATTTTCGGTATTTCATCGGATTCTAATCCCTTTTTCCGATTTTTTCTTGTACTCTCAGGGATTCCTCCAGTTTCTCGAACTTTGGGAAGTTTGTATAGGATTCTACAGGCTTCTGTAGGTCTGAGAGTCCAAAGCTACTTGGAATTCTGCTGTTACCCCCTTGGCTTATGTAGAAGTGTGGGAACGCAGAGCAAACAAAATATTTTACGAAACTTCAGTAAGAACCACAGCATGCTCTTTTACGCTGACTTCGAGATCTATCTTAAAAGAAAGTTCATGATATTTTAATCAGGAATATGTCCTCTAAGTATTTAGCCTAGAAAGTATTTACGAAATACTTAATTAAATACTTTTTGTGAAGAATCATTTCGTTGAAAAAAGCGGAGCAATGTTCGAAATACTTCTAAAAAAGAACGCTAGATTTTCAACATCACACACACCCTACCTACGATTCAGACATATACGTGGAAACTTTTGCTAGTACGAAGATTTTGTATTGCAAGAAATCACTGTTGATAACAATTACCTTTTTTTTCAAAAACAACCTCTGCTCACTGTTAGTCGTGACTGGTAGTTTGAAAAAATAAAAACTACAGCGTTGGATAAAGTTTGAAACGCTAATTTTCATCCATTGAATTCTGTCTGAATACACATTTGTAGTCATGATGAAAAATTCAACTTTATACTTTTTCCACTTTTAGTACACATGCTGCTCACTCTATACGGTTTTGGAGAAAAAGCGTGCGGCACTAAGATCCATTCCCGTCAGAGCTCCTTAATTTCGTCATTGTGAAGGCAAATATTTTAAAAATTTTTAACAGGTTTCTGTCGAGATACACCTGAAAGTTAGTGGGAAATATAGTGGATTGATGGATAATATCTAGGGAAGCTATGTCAACGTCATTGTTCTTGGCAGCAACAGAAGTCATCATGGACGAAGACTATATAGTCAGCAGTAAAGTGATAAATTTTTCTCTATTCCTGATAGTTTCGATTTTTAGTACAATTTTTGCCATGAAAATGAAGATGTTTCACAATTGTACTATCGCGTAAGGAATATCACTGCTGTAGTTTAAAAGACCCCATATGGAAAATAACTTAAAAAGAAGTGATGTGTACTCTCGCTCAAACTTTTTCTTAAATTCATACCGTTCTAGATCAATAGCAATTGAAGTTTGACAAAAGCAATTTAAGCAGAGAATTTACTGTTAACTACTTTCCTATCGACAAACAACTACGTCCTTCACCATATTGTTACTATGCCATTGCTTCTATACTCATCAGTTATGGACAATCTCGATACAGTTATGCATATGAATATGCAGTTCTTATTGGCTATACCATTCAAAATCATAAGGAATCAAATCATATCAATCAATCTATTTCGGAATTTGAAGTAGCACATAAAACGAAGAGTTAAACAAAATTCAAAGAAATAAACTTCTCATTTTAAGTGGATTTATACCTTTACATCACAATCATTTACTTATTTAATTAAGTATACGCTTCTGATACATTATCCACACTGGAATAGTCACTTTCTCCCCATCACTATAAATTTGAAAAAAGAAAAGTCCGTAATTTTTTTACCTAATTTTCTCTCAATTACATACAAAAGTTCGTTCCATCATTGAGTAAGTTCCGTGAAATAAAGTATATAATCACCGTGATTATATACGGTGATAAAGCCCGTGATTTAATCACGGGCTTTTCAACCCGGAAATTGTCAATCAGAACCGTGAAAATAGGGAATAAAGTGCGTGACTGGTTGTTGTCTCTAGTATCCTATGGCCATACCATACTACTATCTGTGGTGACAAGTCAGTTTAATGTTTTTTGTAAACTATATTTATTGAGCAAGAGGAAAAATTATAGCATCTTTTGTTTATGTTTATATTTGTTTTATTTATTGATTGTATTTGTTCCGATGGAACTACGAGCGACAAGAACTATATTAAATGCATAAGATGGATTTCGATTCAAGTAATTATATGACCACGGATAATAGGACGAATAATGACACAGACACAACTGATCTCAGTTTAATGGATCATGGCATCAAACGACTTGACGAAATTCCATTACGCAAAAATTTATTATCAATTAATTTACATTCGAATCAAATAGAGAAAATAAGTGGATTATCAGCATTAAACAATCTGATACATCTCGATTTATCGTCCAATAATATTCTGCGTATACAAAATTTAGAAGGTCTAACATCATTGAATACATTAAATCTAGCATCAAATAAAATATGCGTTGTCGAAGGTTTATTTTCATTGAAGTATGACTATTGATCATTCATCGAACTATCGTCAAATGATACGATGTATCCATTTCATTTAGAAAATTAACGTGGCTCAATTTGTCCTACAATAACATCGAGTATATACGAGGATTTCAAGATCTATGGGGGCCACAGTATAATCTATCAATATTACAAATGCATGGAAATCAGATCGAGTATGTGTTTTAAGACTAGAAAAACAAAGTTGAAAATCGTTCTACTGTTTAATTTGTTGTCTAGTTCATTAGACGAGATAACAAAGAATTTGAGTGGTTTAAGTCGTTTACATCATATCACATTTAATGAAAATCCTGTTGAAAAAAATGATGGTATGTGAGGGTGTCTCAAGTGTCATTTGGTTTCTCTGACTAAGTGAATGACATATTATAGCCTACAGAGTAACAGTTTTCAATCGTCTTCACACGTTGATAACTCTGGATGGAATGGATCGACATGGAAAAAAAGATTTCAGTAGTCAAGGTTTACCTGGTACGCTGCTTGTGAAATGACATAGATTATCTTTCTAGAACATATGATTTCCATTTCGCAGGAATCGACCAGTATATGGGCTTTATGAAATCGAATTCAGAGGGAGATAGAGAACGTATGGTACGTTCTTTGAAGTTATTTCAAATGTATTTCTATTTATATTTACTTCTTTTGCTTTCGATCAGGATGTGAATGATTCGATAACACAACAATATCCGAGAATTGCCGCTGCTCTCACAGTACTTCGACATCATAAGCCAAATGAATCGAGCACAACAACGGATATTCGCTCAAGTGTTGATATGCATAATGGCTCAATATCTGTATGTGAACCATTGTTTCTCCTATAAAAAACATAATGTATGAAAGAAAATGTTGATTTTGTTTAGACTTTTGAAAATGATACAGTTCAACGATCAAAAGTCGATAATGATGAGAATGGGAATTATATGCTACAAACACAGCATATATCTGTTCAACCACGCCATGCAGCAAACGAAAAGCAAATAGGTAGTATAATGCTACATATTTTTCAGTACAAGTCTTTGTTTATTTTAATATCGATTAAGAGTAGTAAAGTAAAATAATCTGATCTTTCAGCATGTTCACCGTCTACAGATAATGAATCAGATCATCACACGGCTAGCGCACGTCGCTCTAAACAGAGATTAAGTACAAAAACAACAACGCAACGTCGACATCAACCATCAAATACTCAACAAATGACTGCCGGAGAATTTAGGTATATTTTGTTTTATTCTTCAAACATTGTTTATTTATTTTATATTTTTGTTTTCTAGTAAAAAACCATCGAAAAATCAATATTCAAATGTGCAAAGTCGCATAGTTCCGTCATCATCATCTAATCGCTCAAAAAATATCAGTGATGTCACAAGTCCATTTCGAGTTAATAATGGTAACGTGGAGATTGAACGAAATCAGCGTGAACGAGATTGTGATGAATATCGTCGAGAAATAGATTATGACGAGACAAGAGAAGTTTATATGGTAGGAGATCTTTTTACATTCAGTCTTTTAAGGAGAAAAAAAAATGAAGGTTTTTTGTAATAGGCAACCTTGCGAGATTTGGATTCTGAACGTGACAAGCGATGGCGTGCTGAACAAGAAATCAAACGATTGAACGATCTGATTGATGAATGGAAAAAGAGAGGTAGAAATGGAAGAGCATTCTTGAAAAGATGGGAGTTTAAAACGAATCATAGTGTTTAGCTAGTGATGGCCGTACTAACGAAAGTATTTTACATGAGCTATCAGAAAAACATAAGCAACGTTTAATGGATGAAAGCTCAAAATTTCAAGATTTGACAGGAATATTAGATGATTACAAGGTTAAAATTGTTAATCGTGTTGAATATCTTTTAGTTAATTGTTTTCAAATTTTTCTATCTATCAGGCTCGTTTAAAAGACACGGAAAAACAATTAGCGTCGTATAAAGAAGCACAAGAAATAAATTTACGTTTAATAAAAACTTTAGAAAGTAGTATCAGTCAGCTGGAAAGTGAAAAAAATGAATTACGCATCACTGAGGTAAACAAAAGGAAAAATCATTATTGATTGGTTTGTTTTTTTATATCAAAGTTAACTTTATGCTTTTTTCCATTTTAGAATGAAAAAGGACGTAATCTCGAACGACGAAGCGGTGCTTTGCAACGTGAAAATGAAATATTACAACAAAATGCCAAAACAATGAAAACGCAGCTGAGAGATTTACAAGAATTATGTACAACACGCGAAGCACAACACAAGTAAATAATGACTTTTTTCGTCTTTTGTTCTATACAATGAGTAAACTATTGTCTATGTTTAAAGACAAGAAATTGAAAAATCTCGTATTGATGTGCAATCATCTGAAGTTCAACAATATTTAAAACAAGAAATTCAACGTCGTGAAGATGTTTTTCGTACAGAATTAGGACATCAGCAAGAAAAGTAAAATAATAGATTATTATTTTAGTTCAATTGTAAATGATGTTTATGTCTTGATTATTTTAAGAATGCAATCTTTAGCCACAGAATACAGAAAACTTGAAGATGAATTTCGTGATGCATTGAAAATCGAAGAAAAACGATATAAAGAAGTAAATATGAATAATAGTGATAGTTGTATTTATAATTTCTTTTTTTGTTTCATTTCAGTTATATAATACAAATGAAGTATTGAGAAAAGAAAATGATGTACTACAAAATGCAACAACAAGTACAAAACAACGAGAAGAATCTGATCGTAAAATGGTTAACGATTTAATGGCTGTAAGAAATATTAGAAATGTTAATGAATCATTATTTTCCTATTAATTAATTGACATATATTAATACATAGTTTAACTCTACTTTTAGTTAGTTCGTGAACAAAAAGAACGTTTACAAGAACGCTCTAAAGTGAACGATGTTCTAACTCAACAGAACAAAAATTTGACAACTAAATTTGAAAAAGCTGTTGAAGAATTGAAAAAAATACGTGAACAAGTGTTAAATATGCAAAAAGTATTAATATTCAACTATTAATCTCGTTTTTTCAATATAATTATGTATATTATTTAATTTATAGGATCGTCGAGAAATCGAGACACGTCTTGTAGCACAAGAATCTGTTCTGGCTGGTTTACGTGAAGAAAAAAAATTATGGAGTCATGAGTTAGCTCAACAAGGTAATATACTTTATTTTTTTAATTTCGTCTTCTGTATACGAATATATGTTGTTGTTTTAATAGGTGCATCATTAGCTCAAGATCGTGGTCGTTTAGATGCAACAATTCAAACATTACATAGTGAAGTAAATACATTAAAAAAACAATTAGATAAAGAAGTTGATACTTGTCGAATAAAACAGGCAATAATTGAAGATCAAACAGATACGATAAGAAAATTAAAAGATGTAAGATTTTCAATTGAATATAATGAATTTATACATAAATTTGTTGTTATTTTTATTTATATAGGGTTTGCTTGAACGAGATGACACTATTAAAAAAACACGTGAACAACAAATTGATAAACAAAAAGAACTTGAACAACAACTGAATGATGAACAAACACTTTATCAAGATTTGCAGGTAAATTTATTTGTAAATAATAATTTGTTTTCTTACGAGGAAACCTATCCAAGAGATACCTTACGATTTCGTTCGTTCATACGTCGACCGATAAAGGATATCGAGCTAATTAAAAGGCTGAAAGGATTTCCCCCCATGACCCTTAAAGACCTGGTTTTCTGAAAAAGTGGTTTTTCAGACACTAAAAAAAATAACTAAAACATTTCTTAATAAGGCATAATTGTAGTCCGCATAATTTTTGATTAAAATGAGACGTCTCCCACTCTACACGACCTTTTTTTGCAAAGTTATGGAATTTACAAGAAAAGCCCTAAATTGATTTCTTCTTATTTCTATAGTTTTGAGCTGACAATGAATATTTGGGGCTTTTCTGGTAAATTGTATAACTTTGCAAAGAAAGGTCATGTAGAGCTGGGAGATATCTCATTTTAATCGGAAATTTGTGGGCTACAATTATGCATCATTAGGGAAGGTTTGGGTTATTTTTTAAAGTTTCTGAAAAACTGGATCTTCAAGAGTCATGGAGAATAACCCTTTTAGGCTTTTTACTAGCTCAATACCTTTTATCGATCGACATATGAACGAATGAAATCGGAAGCTTAGATAGGTTTCCTTGTTGGAATATTTCTATTCACATAATGTGTGCGTAAATGTGTATTTTAGGATAAATATGAAAAAGCATGTGAAAAACGTGACGCAACAAAAGATGATATGCACAATCTTCAACAACAACTAGATAAAACTAAAGCGGATTATAGGTAATCATTTTATAAACTTGTTTATCTAAATGTATACTAATCATTTTTATATATACAGTGCTCTTAGTCGAAAATGGAAAGAAAAATCAGATTTAATTACAGAATTAGATAATAAAATTCGTAAAGCATCCGAATCATATCAAATGAATGAGAAAAAATTAACTGACGAAAAAACAAGATTAATCGAAACGAATAAGTAGGTGTTTTTATCTACAGTACTGTGAAAAAATTAGAAATATTATCGAAATTGTTCTCAGAATTTTTATTATTTCTATCCACAGTGATGATTGTAAATAAGCATCAGTCTATGAATTTCGACATTTAGGTCAGTTTATTAACTAAAAGTCATGATACAAGTTGTAAACATAGCTAGTACAAAATATGTAAAAGAGAAATCGTGCTGTGCATTCATATACATACTTTTGATAAATCAACTTCGATGATATTTTAATTTCCTAATTTTTTACAATATTTTACAATCAATAATTGTTATAAATTTTTTTTATTCTAAAACAGAAATCTCGAAGATAAACTTCGACAACGAGATGATGATTTTCGTAAACAATATGAATCAATTGAACATGGTCATAGACAAACAATGAATCAGATGCAAAAAAATTATGAAGAAAAATTACAGCAAGCACAATTTCGAGTATGAATCTTATCTTGTGTTTTAAACATTTTTTCAAAGACATCAAATGTCTTAATAACTTTTGTATTTCTATATTTTAGGTTGCTGAAGTTGAAGAAGAAATGCGTGTATTATTACTTGAGACAGAACGTCGTAGAAAAACATTTGAAGATCGTATTAAACAATTAAATAGTGTTATGCATGATTTTCAAAATTTTCAACAATCGCTCTAGATTTTTAGGTACTATATGGTTTTTTTTTCTCTAATTGTCTGATAGATTGTACATAGAATATTAAAGACGTCCATTGTATTTTATTATGTTATTCACTAATTAATTCCAAAACTCAAGTATTTCGTTTTATAGTCAAATTTTTTATAATGTAACGTTTTTTTTTGACGTATTTTGATTATTATGTGACAATAATCTCCGTCCTTTTTTTGTATTTCTGCAAATGGGTTTCTTCTTGTAAATTAGAACGCTACCGAGAGAGGGAGAGAGAGAGAGTATTTTAAACTTTTTATTTCTAACTGAACGATGACATATGCCTTCAGTTCATGTAAAACTGGCTTAATTATTTTTAAATTTATATGTCTAGTTTTTCTTGTAGATGTAGCAGAAATGACATCGATACTTTTATGTCATCCACATTCTTTGAGCAGAATTTCGTTGACAAATAGATTTTTTCCTTCGCAATATATATGGAAACGTAATGTTTCTACATTACTTTATCAAAAACATGATAAAGATCAACAGGTGGACATTTTATTAAATATTAAAAAAAATAGTTACTCCATCTCGACACCAGTTCGTTTCTTGTTTAATTTAAAAAATCAGAATATATCATATTTCAATGATTATTTGACACCTGTATATCTTGTTGAACAAAAACGTTTTCGTAAATTGAAATATGGTTTTGGTTATGGAAATTATGGACATAAAAAAATTCGACCACCCGGTCATTTTGTTACACAATGGTTTGGCTTTATATTTGGTATAGCCTCAGCCGTTTCTCTTGTTATTTATTTGTATGTAGTCGTAGAATTAATAAATATTCAAGATATATTTAGATATTTTTCATTTAATTTTAGAACGAGAAAAGAATTCAGTGATTCCTATGAAAATTCGTCACAATCTCAACATATACCACGTCGACCGCATGAATATCAAAAACGTTTAGATCAATTTTTTGATGTCAAAGCAGCGACTATAAATGAATCGCTTAAATCCACAACAGAAGACGATAAGAAGAGGGAAGAAGGGAACGAGAGTGATAATTCTGACGTCGAAATAGAATCAACAACAAATGAAACAATCAAGACGAAAAAAACGAAAAACACATCACCATCTAGCAATAAAACCAACGTGTCATTCCGTGATAAGAAAAAAATTGCCTATGAAAATCGGATTCGCGGTTAGTCATAAGACAGAAACAGACTTTGAACTACAATGTATTTAAAAAAATAAAATGAACTCGTCCATTTATTGAATGACATTTGATAGAAAAGAGCTGGGGAGCTGTGATTAGGCACTAGTTTAGCGTTATATATACTAAATGTAGTTATTATACACAAATACAATAGCCGAACAATTTGTCTTCTCACTTCTTTTTTGTTCTTTTATCAGAGAAGAAAGATTAAAAATAGAGTTGTACAGACAGATAAAGAAACTTATTTGTTGGACACTGGGCTCATAGCAGACGATATTGACTGTCGGCAATTGAGATGTAATTAGAGCCTATTTTTACCTTGAATGTAAATTAGAAACGCTGGTACTAGGATATTATTAGTGTTCTTGTTCCTTTCTTAAAGTATTCATTTTTTCCTCGTATCATATCTATCAAAAAAGGATGAAGTCATTCATTTATTGAATGACGTTTGATAGAAAAGAGCTGGAAAGCTATGGTTAGACACTAGTTTAGCATATTATTCTATAAAAAGTATTCGTCCAGACTCTTCTTACAATAGAAGATCTCAGCACGATGTTTGGAAAAGTAGACTGTTTTACAACTTCTTCATTAGTCATAGTAAAACTTCATGTTAGATAGTATACCGAAAACCCATATAAGAGAGGATACTGACTGCCAATACACATAACATAGTTATCCCTGTAAGCGTCTTTTCACTAAGCCAGAAAAATGTATGCTACATCTACACAACGATATTGATAGATGAGAGATGAGCTTTACTCTCTGAAAACTCTCTTTTTCAAATCGATAATAGCTGGAATATATATTTCTTGTAAACAAAATCTAACTTACACATTCTAGCTTACTCTACACCTGACAAAATTTTCCGGTATTTTGCAACGTTACGTGTATTCAGCGATGAATCACCGGATGGTAAGTAGTTTCACTTTCTATTATAGGATGAATATTGTGTTTAAAAGCGTTACTGCTTTTTAGAAATAGAAAATATGCAAAAGTATTAGTTTTTTTTTTGATTTAGGTACAATTTATATGACACCGGCCGATTTTCTTCGTTCAATCACACCTGGTTTAAAGCAACCCGACGGTTTAGAATTAGACAAATTTCGTAAGTTTGATCCACGTGAAGACAGTTGGGAAAAATCATTAAATACCCATTTATCTTATTCGATGAAAGATGATGGACAATCATCGATATTTGAACGTATTGGTGGTAAACAATGTTTAATCACATTTTCTGATTTCGTTTTTCTCGTTACATTACTTTCTACACCAGCTCGCTATTTTAATATTGCTTTTCAAATGTTTGACCTGGATGGTAATGGCAATTTTGATTATGATGAATTTTTAAAATTAAAAAATTTAATTCGCTCACAAACGACTGTTGGACAAAGACATCGTGATCACGCAACAACAGGCAATATCTTGAAAGAAACAAGTATTTTGAATAAATATTTTTTTGGTGAAAATCTTGATCAAACATTATCGATACATAAATTTTTGGAATTTTATGAACAATTGCAAAATGAAATAATACATTTAGAATTTAATTGTTTTACAAAATCACCTGTAAATCCAAATAATATAACCGAATACGCTTTCAGTCAAGCATTGTTGGCTTATAGTGGCTTATCAGATAATCATACTAAGAAAATGTTGAAACGTATAAAAAAAGCATATCCTATTGACACATCAATTGGTATTAGTTTTGATGATTATCAAAATTTTAATAATTTTATTCGAAATATTTATGATATCGACACGGCATTAACATTTTTCAATGTTGCAGGTATAAACTGTTAAGCAGTAGAGTTTATCGACCATACATTTTTGTTTTAACTTAAGAAGGATCTTTCCCAAGTAATCCATCGCTTTTTCTTCGAAACATACTTGATAACAGGTAGTTTCTGATGCTGATCATAAATTAGATATTTATTCGTTCCTGCATTGCTGTTAAGGGCGTTGCTTTGTTATAGTGACCAGGTCTTACAAGATCTTGTGACATGAAAAAGTATAATCTTAGGAGAATGTGTAAAATCATATCGGTGAGGATGTTGACTAATATTTTTTTATTTCTCACAATGTCATACGACGTCTTGTTATAAGGTATTGTAACGCCTTGTCAGAAGCTATGACTTTTCTTAGCACATTCTTACCATACGATATATCGTATATATACAGTGTCGTTCTCATGACAGAACTTAGAAATGTTTTTTTTCTTCAACTTCACATCCGAGATAGGCGGGTACGAGTAAGTACTCGTATTCACGACGGTTTTTAAGGAATACTCAAAAAAATACTCTGAAACAGTAGGTTCTATTCTAGAATTGTAGTGTAATCCTACAAGAAAAATGCATGATGTAATCAATATAAAAGTCACAAGACTGTCAGATGGAGTAAATGAATTATTTGTTCTTACAGAAGAAAAAACTAAATTAACTTTTACTTGATATATATACTTCATACATTTTTTCTCTTTATAAAAACTTGTACTCGAGTACATACTCGAGTAAAATTTTCGTGTACTCGTACTCGAAAAAGTGTGTACTCGCCCATCTCTGCGTCACATACAAGCTAGGCACAGATAACTGTACAGCTATAAGGAATGTGGTGAGACATGGTCTTAAAGACGTAAAGATTCTGCCTATGCTAGAAAATATTATGAAAAGAAAAGAATGTTTTTTTCAAAAGTGGATCTAGAGAAAATCTATTGGACAAGATCAATCATATAATCCTATAAAATCTGCTAAATTCTTGTATGATCTTGTGAAATATTGAAATATGATCTTGTAAGATCTTATAAGATCATTTTTCAAGATTCTTCACTCTAGAAGTCCAGTCAAATACATATCCTTTACGCGGAAGTACTTTCTTTCCTTTTGGTTCAACAATCATCTAAAACAATATCGTTATTTTAGTAAAGTAAATGTTACTCTAACTGATATACAAAAAAGTCCACCATCTTCAAAATGGTACCCTTAACAGCAATCAATGCTAGGCAAGTCCAGAGGGAAAAATCTAATCCAAGTCTGATAATGTTTAGATCCTCTTTTTATTGTTGTCGTTTATTTCTCTTATTGACTTGCAAAACTGCTATAGTCATCACAATACTTAGAGAGAATAATGTTTGGATATTGAATGAAGAAGTGTAGGCTATGATCGAATTTCATGATACATGCCAGTACGGCTCACATTTGAACTTAGGATAACAAAAAACGATAGTGAAACATCAAAATTTTCTGTTGATTTATCTGAAAACTTGAATCGGTTGGACCCGAAGTACATAAAACTCAAGTCATAGTCTGATACTTTACAAAAAATCGTCAGTTCAAGTCTTCTAGACAAATCTTAAATCTGGACTCGGACTCGCTCAGTTCTGACACCAATACGAGAACAAATAAATATCTAACTCGTGATCAGCATCAGAAACTATCTGTTATCAAGTATATTTCGAAGAAAAAGTGAAAAATCACTTCAAAAAGTTTTCTTGTCGATCTCGGGAATTGTTCTATAAAATATACGGACTAGAATTCGCTTCTTGGATGATTATCTCATCCTGGTTTTTTGGGGGATTTTTAGGTGGAGCAATTGATAAACAAATATTTCGCCATGTTGCTAAGACAGCGGCTAAAATTAACTTGGATCAACATTTAATCGACGTTGTGTTCACATTATTTGATGAAAATGAGGACGAAAAATTATCAAATACTGAATTTGTGAATTTAATGAAAAATCGACTCGAACGAGGTTTACAAAAACCAAAAGACACCGGCTTTATGAAAATCTTTGCAGCTATTACAGAATGTGCAAAAGAAACTATTTTTTAAAAGACGTGCAAATAGACAATGTGTAAATCTATTTATTTTTGTTGTTTTATACAAATGATAACGGATTAAAACCGCTTCTTGATATCTAAATCTATCATCTTTTTTCAGTGCTACGGACTTTTTTTTGGCTAACTTCTTGTTATATGCATACAAAAATATTATACGTGGCTATGTTATTAGGTTAAAGAATATACAAAATATCAAATGTATAACTTTACCAGAAAATGTCAAGTCGCCCTTTTTTGAGTAAATTCTGATTAAAAACAAAAAAAAATCACTTTATTTTTGAACTGCGACTCTTTTTTTCTCTGCTACATTTCTTCTTTTGCAAAACATTATTGAAAGATGTTGATTGTTGTCGTTGAAAAGAAAAAAAAAAGTAATCATTTTTTCTGCTATTTTTGCAGCAAAATAATTTATACTTTTTTTTATTCCCTAATCATTTTTTTGTAAAAAGATTGTTTTGAGTAAAGATGCAATCTTCTTTCTCTTTATTTATCGCGATTTTTCTTCGTTGGACAAAAGCTGTACACTAAAATACTGTGTAATATTAAGATGACAATAACAGTTATAGTTATTGCATCAATGATATTGGAAAAGGATCACACTTGTATTAAAACGGAAGTCTATTGAACTTATTTTTTAATTCTATTTATCACACTTTTTTACATTTGGTTAACAAGGAGAAGACGAAGGTATATATTACGTTGGAATGAAAATGATAAAGTAGCAGCAGCAGTACAAGGCCTATCTTAGCCTTAAGAGACCTATTGAGTTATATGAATCCATTTTACTTGAGAACATTGTTCCATGTGATGTTTGCATCTCCCGAAATTAATTAGATTATTAATCCACCAAGTATTGATCTTTTAAAATTTTATAGTACACCTGTTATGTCAATATATGAGGTTTTTGTGTTTAGTAGGCAAGTATATGAATACTCACTCACAAGTTCTTTTTTTATCGTACTACATTTCAAGCGTATAAAATTTTTTTGAAGTGGAATAATATCGCGTTATTCCATTCGTTATTGAACCTATAAAGTTGTTAAAAATAAGACAACCAAAATGTCACCATCATGCCATTCATTCTTGCTGACTATATTTAATAATCAAAAATAAAAATCTATTGTATTTGCTATCCGCATGGGTGTGCGTATGTTATTTGCTGTCTCTATTTTTTTTTTTTGTTTCCTTCTTAAATTGTAATCGTTCCACGTGATGCATAGTCTATAGATATCTATTCGAAAAACGATATATAGTCACGAAATAAGAAAACGAGCATTATTTCGTTTGTCGTAAATGAATCAATAAAAGAAAAAAAAAAAAAAGAAGAAAGTATCGTTTTCTTTTTTTAAAATGTAAAAAATAAATGAATAAGTCAAGAAGAAAAAAAAATTTGTAAAGATTTATTTTCAATCTTTTTCTGTTATTTCTGTTCAAAACTTCTTTCAGAAGTTCATTGATTGTATGGGCTCTTATATGACGTATGTACAATTGAGACCACTACAGATACATTTTCTAAAACAAAGAATGATTTGTTTTTAAATGAATGAACATGAATGAGTCAGAAATGCTGTTAAACAAACGACGTTGTATTTGTTTAGCAAATAGAAACTAATTGTTTATCTAGCTTGAGGCTCACGATGTGTTAAGTAATCAGGTATTAGTACACTTATCCTATTGAAGTTGTCAATTATTTATGTATCAAAGCTATGAGACACTTCTATATAGCTTTTATCTCTACATTCCTACGCAATATTTTACACTATTGGTATCCTGATCACATGTTTCCATTTTTTTGTGTGCGGATTAATAGTATAAATCTTACATTCTCTTAGTCGGTTCCGAAAGACTAATGTTAGCTCGTCGTTGTATTGATAGTATTGAACCTAATTCGTAATATTTGACATAGAAAAAAGTGATATGCACTTTAAATTGCATCCCTTTACTCACTCACACTCATACAAAAGTCATTGATTGTATAGATGAACGAAAAAAGCACATTTATATACTTCAATGAGCACCTATCCTACGTTATGAAAGATATTCATTTGTTTTGTCATGTTGATATGATCAATTATACTTTTTTACCACAGTTTGTATTGTATGTCAATCGCTGCACACAGTCTATTGTTTTGAATATACAAATAAATATAGAAATACAGCCGAACAATTTGTCTTCTCACTTCTTTTTTGTTCTTGTATCAGAGAAGAAAGATTAAAAATAGAGTTGTACAGACAGATAAAGAAACTTATTTGTTGGACACTGGGCTCATAGCAGACGATATTGACTGTCGGCAATTGAGATGTAATTAGAGCCTATTTTTACCTTGAATGTAAATTAGAAACGCTGGTACTAGGATATTATTAGTGTTCTTGTTCCTTTCTTAAAGTATTCATTTTTTCCTCGTATCATATCTATCAAAAAAGGATGAAGTCATTCATTTATTGAATGACGTTTGATAGAAAAGAGCTGGAAAGCTATGGTTAGACACTAGTTTAGCATATTATTCTATAAAAAGTATTCGTCCAGACTCTTCTTACAATAGAAGATCTCAGCACGATGTTTGGAAAAGTAGACTGTTTTACAACTTCTTCATTAGTCATAGTAAAACTTCATGTTAGATAGTATACCGAAAACCCATATAAGAGAGGATACTGACTGCCAATACACATAACATAGTTATCCCTGTAAGCGTCTTTTCACTAAGCCAGAAAAATGTATGCTACATCTACACAACGATATTGATAGATGAGAGATGAGCTTTACTCTCTGAAAACTCTCTTTTTCAAATCGATAATAGCTGGAAATATATTTCTTGTAAACATGATGTTTTAATGTCATCTTTCTAATCACATAGAAGCGTGCAAGCATCCTCCAGGTTAAATCGTCGGGATTGAAAATGATTGCCTTCGTGGATTTATTATTTTTTATAAGAAATATTTATGGATCTTCGTAAACGAACGAATACTCCATATTACCAGCGCAATATGCGACCACCACTGTAAAAACTATGGTTTACAACGAAGATAATGGAGACGTTTACATTAAGAGTTCGTAACAAGTTATAAATATGATCCTGAAACATCGTGTTGTCTTTGAGTTAAGCTTTCTTTTTTTTTGACAGCATGGCTTAGTGGTTATGTTGTTTGTCACTCCAAACGTACTGCGTTCGAACCTCGGCGCCGATAGGTCATGTAATAACTTTGAACAAGTTACTTGTGTCTTAGTGCCTCGGATCACCCGTCCAGGAACAATCCTACTAATACATAGCGATGTACAATAGAGCTCCTCTGGCTAGTTTGCTTAGCTTTCCGGAGAGCATGGTAAGTGAGAGTGTATAGGGAGAGTTCGAGGATTGGACGAAAGAATTCTGCGTCGGACTAGCCTTCTGTTCAGAGAACTGTGGTTAACTAGTAACGAGATGGGTGAGCATATCAGAAGCTTGTCAACTTTGCAGGGAAGGTATCGGGCTACGGCAGCGCTCTACATCGGTAACGGTAGCCATAAGGCGGGGTATTCTTTCGTCCTTTGAGCCAACCTCGTTCAAGTAAACTTTTATAATAGATCGAAGTATTGTTGACATAGTGTCTAATTTCATTTAATCTTTTATTTAAATGGTAAAGCCTGCCGTCTTGTTGTGTATTTTTCTTAACACTGACTGATTTACACAACTTCAATCTATTTTTGTTCACATTTTTTTATTAGCATTGAGAAACTTAAGACACTTTAAAAACGAATAAATTTACTATTGACGGTAATAAAACCAAAACGCCCATATTTTTGTTCTTGTCTATGTGCATGAAACAGATATGCCCTTGATCATTATCTTTATACATTTAACAATTTTTTGAGCATATTGATATAGATAGGTTTTATTTATCTTTTGTCAACTGGAGACAAATTCTTCAATATAAATGTTATCTTGTTATTTGCCTTGTCATAAATAATAAAAGCGTTATTAAACAACTATGCTTTGAACTCATCTATTGTCCATAGTTTAAAATATCTTCCGTATTACTTTTGAATGAAGTGAGTAATGTTTCTTCATCGTTTTTTTAAAGAATGGTACTGATCATGACTAAACTTTTCCATTGAATTATGTAAAAAAAAATGTTCAGAATCTTTTCTAACAGATTTCAATGTATAGAAGATATAAAAAAGCAGTTTTTCATATGTATCAAAACGTTTTTTAGAGAATAAAATCATACACTGTCTACTGCTACTAATTGTCAGAAAAGAAAATAACAATATCCATCATCTTGAACTATTCATTCTTGCTTCTACAAATCACATAGATATCTATTGTTTACATGTTCGACATTTAATCTTGTTCATCTTTTGTAGATAATATTATCAACGTTGTTAAATTTCTATGTTTAGTGCTATAACAAAGAATCGAGTGAGTATATTATACAATAAGTTATTAAGCATACACTAGTTAGTTCAGATAATCTAAAATCTGTTCATATTAACACAACGTTTAATTTGGTTTCAGTTTTATTATTCATAGATAATGCTATATAGTCAAAATAATGACTTCTATCGAAACATACTTGTGAATTAAGTGAAATTCTAATAGATAGCGCCATTTTAGCTTAGTAAACATTGTTTTACGCATAGAAACCCTATTTTTTTTGTTGAAAGAAGATCCGACAGAATTTCCTTCTATCTCATATTCCAGGGTAAAAAAAGGTTCGTTCTATGAGAATCTTGGTGACCTCCCGTGAAGACCCCCTGCGAATAATAATGCAGAAGTTTTTAATATTTCTTAATAGTAAAGGTAAAATCAGTAAATTTATAGTTCATGAGTTCGTACTTTAACATAATCAATCTTTTTTTAAAATAGAATTGTCATACTTTAGCACATGATAATGGATGTAGTAAGATAAAATAATATCCAAATTAAAATAAGCGATCAAAAACGTTGAATTCTATATAATATTGGTATAAAACAAATGGAAAGTTCGCTAACTCATTACTTCGAATTAATTTTTTCGTCTTTCAATTTCCTTAATGATTAGTTTGGTTATTTCATTTTAATACTCATGATCAGGGAAACAAACTATTGATCGATTTCTATAATATAATTTTGATTGATCATTTGTTTTTATACTTTATAGATAAAAGCGTGTCGTCATGACCCATTGCGGTAATTCTTCTGAAATAGATCTAATTACATGTAGTATGTGCTTTTTTTTGCTTCTTGTCGTCGTTCGTTCTGAAGCGTTTACATACACATACGGTAGTCAGGGTTTGCACTTTTTCTCTCTTTTATTTTCTTTCGATCTGCATTTTCTTTTTTCTGAAGTTAACATATTATAATCTAACGTAGACTTTAATTTTTATATAGAAGTGAATTGCTTGTATGTTTAGACAATTTTCTACTTCTAATTACTACTCAAAAAAGACTAGAACACTCATAAAATGTTAAGATATTGAGACAACATTAGCATTCTATAGAGAGCATAGAAAACGACTATTTATTTATCACACATATTCATTTGTTAACTGACTCCCTTATTCGTACTTTTTAATGTTGATGATTAACTACTATTTCACTTAAACTATTAATTATATTATATAGGAAAAATAGCAATATTTTTAAAAATATACTCATTTGTTGACACAAATAATATATGAACCTTAGAATATATTGAAATAGATCATTCATCTACAGCTGTTAGAGATTCAAAATATTTTTTCCCCAGATGTCTACGATCATACATTAGCGAGACAGAATAGTGTGAAAGAAAGAATTTTTTCTGTTGAGAACCATAAGTCTTCTATCGTTTTATTCAGTCGATTCAACCAGATGCAACTATACTGTGCATCGGCTTAGTTAAACTACGCTTATAGACATAATAATATTATGTGTATTGGTAATCAGTATCCTCTCTAATATTCGTTTTTGATATAAAAATACATATAGGTCACTATCTAATATGAAGTTTTACTATGACTAATAAGTCATCATATATTTACCTGTATTGAATATCATACATATGCCAGCTTCTACTGTCTGTTTCAGATCATTCTGGGATCCATCTGCCATATTACACTGGTAAGAGAGAATGCCCGGTGTGAGATTAAGTAATAGGGTAACTTAGACCAATTTGATATGGCTGGAATTCGATATTGAACGCTGATATATACAAATATAAGTTTCACGTGGGTCCTATCGGACATCAGCTATCTCACCGAATAAGAATGTTAATGATCACAAAGATGTACACATATTCTTCGAAACTTACAATAATTAAAACTTATTTGAAGAAAAAACCCTTTTTTCAACTACAAAGCAACAAATCTACCTTCACTTTACTTTATTGACTTAACAAAGTGCGTTAAAACTTTTCTAATTAATGTGAACTTTTTGATTATCAATAGCAGGTTATAAACAGCGTATGACTATTCTTTTTACTCGAGAGTATGTTCGATTACTGTCAACAAGTTTTGTAATAAGTCATATAAAACAAAGTTATATATATCTAAACTATGAAACTCTAAACTATATTGTATGTCATTTTTCTATTTTGCAGAATAATTTTCAACACTTATTCGTTTTTATCGTCAAACTTGACAAGAGTGAGATTGAAATTCAAATGATAATGTGAAATAATTAATAAATAATAATGGCTATTAAACGAAAAGATTTTCTAAAGACTTCATCAACAATATTAGAATTTTTATTAAAATTACCAGATGAGGAAACAAGTTCACGTTTGAGAGATACATTATTGCATGCGTTACATTTTTTACAACAATATTATTTAATATTACAAAAACGTGATAAAGAACAAAAACCGTTACAATGGACAATTGAACGTGGTCTAAGTCCGTTGACACCATTTCGTGAAGCACCGGACAAATTTGAATGGCAATGGATAGCAGTTGATTCGAATAAAGTCAAACAAACAATACCTAAACATTCATTAAATAATTTTCAAACTTTATCACCAATTATGTTAGCTGTTCGAGAGGGTGATTTACGTTATGTTAAAGAATTATTAAATGATAATTTGGATTTAATATCGAGAGTAGATTCATTTGGTAGAGATTTATTGACTTATGCTGTCCAATATAATCAAATAGCTATATTAAAATATTTATTAGAAAAACAGGCAAATGTTAATACATTGGCGAATGATGGATCGACATGTTTACATCGGGCGTGTTATGGTGATGGAACACATTGCAACATTGAGATCGTACGATTATTATTAGAACATAATGCTGATCATTCGATATTAGATATACATTTACGTTCACCATTACATTGGTCAGTATTAACAGAAAATATTGATTGTTTAAAATTATTAATTGATTATAAAACAAATATACATATTAAAGATATTGATGGCATGACTCCAGCTATGTGGGCCTGTCATCTCGATAAATTTGATCATTTTCAAGTAAGTAAGGTGTTGTTCTTCGATAAAGAGAGTGAACGGTCGTAAACTTACCAGTTAAAAATTAGGAATCTATTCTGTTGGCATATTAATCGTTGCCAGTATATCTGATTACTTTATTCGACATGTACCTTTTTCGTTTTATAGGAATTATCTCATCATGATAGTGATGTGGAAGAAAGAGATAATGATGATCGAACATGGATTCATTATAGTGTAAGAAAAACTGAACCTTTAGAATGTTTGAAATCATTATTATCACCAGAAACAGTGTTATTAAGAGATAATGAAGGTCGAACTTGTCTACATGTAAGTTATCACCGAAATAATTCAATTATTATAATATTTTTTCTGTCTGTTCATTTAGGTTGCTGCTGAACAAGGTTCTCTGTTAGCATGTCGTCTAATATTTGATATGGGTGAAAAAATTTCCAATAAAACTTATGTTCATGAAGTTGACAATCAAAAGCAAACTCCTCTTCATATTGCCACTAAACATGGACATGCACGTGTTCTCAAAGAACTTTTAGATCATGGAGCTGATCCTCATGTAAGAGGTAAGTTGACATCTTTTTGTTTCCATTATGATTATAGAAATTTTTCATGTATTTTTCTAGATATTCATGGCATATCTTCTTTAGACTATGCCCTCAATCGTGGACTTTATTTTTGTCGTAGTGTATTTGAAGTTTATCTACGTGATAAACGTGGTTTAATGAGTCCACGAGATAGTCGTCCATCGACAACACGTAGTTTTGGTAATGAAACATCACGCGATACTTTTGTTAATGTTGCTCCATCGCCACCTATAAATGGACATGCAAATTTTATACGTCGATCATCACGTACTTCAAAAGATTCACTTTCATTTTCACAAACATCTTTCACACGTCCTCCTTTACCAAACGCAAAAAAATCCACTGATCTTTCATCAACCTATCCATCAGTTACATCATTCAATCGAGATGAACAACAACAAGATTATCATGATGAGAAAGATTATCCAACAACAAAACAACAACGTATAACATCAGCTAGAAGTACAGACAGTAGTATACAGCCACCACCTCCCGTTAAACCACGTAAAGGTTCCACACCAACATCGATAAATTTTGTGAAAGAACAGCAACAGCAAACACACTCTCGAAAACATAAAGATGTCATAGTTCATTCGGATGATGATCCAGATAGTTTAGAAGGACAAGGCAGAAATAGTGATGAATTATTATCGGACTATGATGATTCAAATAATAAGAAAGATCGACGAAAGATGTTAGTAAAAAAGTCACATCAAAACGGACGATCAAACTATATTAAGAGGCAACAAATGAATGACGAACAACGCTTTCAGAATGGAAAGGATGATGGTTTTGATTCACAAGGTGAACATGAACGTCCAACATCACGTCTATCTGTTCGCAACGGAGATGAAAAAATAATTATATCGCCAACGTTTAACGGCGTTACTAGACGAAATAAACAGTCAAATTTAAATAGTAATAATAATAATAATAATTCAAACAATCGACATTCGATGTATGATGATTACCGATTTCTAGATGAATCAGTGATACAACAACAAAGTCGAGTATTATCACCTCAACAATTAAAAACTTCACCATCTAAACAACGCAAAGAATTTCCTGCGCCTGTCTCAAATCGTATTGGTTCTGGTGGTAATCAGGCTATTGGTGGTTCATTATATTTACAACATCTCACATCAGCTACGAATCGATTAAAATCGGGCTCTAAATCAAGTTCGACAGAGAGCATTCCCACACTCGATTTAACTGTTGCTGGACAAAAGGTTTTTCGTACAAAAAATAATACTGAACAATATCTGAGTAATTCTTTACCATCCACAAACACATTACGACCGCCAAGCGGCAGATTAAAACCATTAAATACTCAAACGAATGATAAACGTATCAATTCAAAATATAATATCGATGATTCACCACGTACGCTCGAAGACGTAACAAATAATACATCATCGGCAAAATATGTACATAGTCCAACAAATTCGGCTCATTCATCATCGTCAAAAAGTCATTTATATAAGAAGAAATTAGCACCGTTAAATAGTGATACAATGAAAAAATTGACAAATACAAATCGTATGTTTAATGATAAACAGAATCAGCAATATATTGACGGTGATGATATAAATTCGGACACTGAAGATATTAGTGGTCAACAACAAAAATCATCTTCTATTTCGAGTGAAACAGGATCAAAACGGTCAACAATACATGTATATCATTGATGATAGAAAACAAAAATAGATTTTTTTTTTGTGTTTAGTATATATTGAATCGATTCATTTTTGCACTAGCAAATCTTTTATTACCGTCCATTAATAATCTTCCGGTCTGTTTAACTATAGTTAAAAAACGGAAGGCTTTTATTATTATTTTTTTGTCTTTTGCTTGAATTTAAATTGTACTTGATCGCTTTCTCTTTTACTTTCTACAATTATTATGTAGTTAATCTCTACTATTATTTTGTTTGTCATTTTTTTTTTCTTAAATTTCTATTCCATTTTTCTTAAAAAAGAAAGCAAAACAACTCACAATGTATGTATATTTTATATTTGTATTACAGTCTCATTTTTACGTTTAATTTTTCTTTTTAGAAATTTTTTTGTTTCGCTCGAAAATATTTTTCGTACTCTACTTGATGATCAACGTGAACGAATGAATGTGACATTTTTTTATTGGTAATTTTTTCTACAAGAAAATAAAAACAAAACATTTTTTCTTAATTTTTATTTATTTTGAATATTTTCGGTAGGTTTACATCATTTCCTGTAAAACTATCTAGTCTACCATTTTGGAGTTCATAAAGTAATGTCATTTTATTTATTGAAATCTCTCATTATCTAAGTGAAAACACATATTTTTTTATTATTGTTTAACTGACTCGAACATGTAGAACACAAATATTGCTATTAATTGTTTTATAAATAATTATTATTCTTAGATAAATATGATGACATAAAACCGTGATCAAATAGTTAATAATTAATGATTAATTAATTATTTGTATTTTAATTTAATAATGAATAGTCGTACGTGGAATAATAATTATTTTCAATCACATCCAGTTGATAAGTCATCAGTATTTTATACAATGGGACGTATTCCATCTGGTTATGTTATTCAAAATTCACAAGATAATCAAATTTCACAGCGAAATGAATTCATACCTAATAGGCAAACATTGTCACCGGTTAAACAGTCTCGTTCACGATCATCAACGGCCATTATTAGAAATCAGAGTTTAAATACATCATATCCATCTCACGATGATATTGATTCACTACAATCTGATCAATTAATTGAAGAACGTGAAAAAAATATGCGTAAACAATTTTATCATGCTAGTCGTGGTACGAATCAATGGCAACCAATTATTTCTTATCCATATTTAGTAACAACAAATAATCTCTATCAATTTCCAAATAATAATAATAATAATAATAATAATATAAATGGTAGTACTAATTTAAATAATCTTAATAATTATTTGCCTTATTATGATCAAATACATCAAAAATCAAATCAACAACTTCATACACAAGAACAACCGAATACTTGGCCAACAAATACAAATGGCAATAACGTCGATATTCCTCCACCATTTTATCATAATAACTCTATATCAACAACTGATTCAACTTTTAATGAACAATATCCCTATTCTCATTCAACTAATACAGCACGAAAAACACCGACAAGAAGTCATACACCGTCGAATCCTATGCTTATACCGTCAGGAACAAATCTCAATCATTTACAAGTAAAAAACATCAATTATTTATCCTACATTTATCTTATGTCGTTGATTCTTCTTCTTTTTGTTATTAGGTACCAATTGTACCTCGAAGAGATAATTTGTCTCCATTGTCATTTACATCGCCAAGTCCTTCTCCTGCCCTACTCACATCATCATTTCCAGATAATGCAGCAACCACAATCGAAACAACAATCGACAATTCTTTTATTGATAATTTAAATTATACAATAGATGATCTTATTCAAAAACTTACTCCAACAGATAATTATATTCCAGAAGTGTGTTTACTCTTTTATTTATTATATAGTCTAACATTTTAATTAATTTTTTCTATTATAGAATTCTTTCATTTATCCTATGCTTATGTGTTCGAGAATACATATTCGTCCAACTCTCTTGCTTAATCGTCTGGCTCGTGCAACAATTAGCTCAATAACAAATATGACACGTGTAAGAGAAAAAAAAACTAATAGAGAGTAGTATAAACGATATTTCTTCTTTCTATTTCATTATAATTATTTTAGAATCAAAGTGTACGAACATTGCATAATCTTTTATTTATACTCTCACAATGGACTCGTACATTTCCCTATGATTATCGAAATACGGAAATGAGATTACAATTAGAAGATTTATTACGAAAAATTAGTGATTATGAAAATAGTTTACAGTCGGATACAAATTATATTTATAAAAAACTTTCTTCAAAAGTAAACAAAAAAAAATATATTTTTAATAATTAAAAAATAAAATATATATTTTGATTTCTTTTCATATTTTTGTTTTTTGTCTATTTAGTTAAAAGCTCTTGCACAATACGAAGATTATATTCGTCAATTGAATCAAAAAGCGGCAAATAATTTGAATGAAAATGCTTTATTGGTATGTGATCATTGTCATTTTTTTTATTTTATTTTATTTTATATTATTAAATAATATTTTAGACTGATATTATGAATGAATGTCCACAACCAATATTATTTGCTCAACAAATAACACATATTGAATTGGTAAGGCATATTATTGATTATTAATTAATATATATATATATATCTAGTCAGAATATACAATTTTTTTGTTTATTTTTTAATTTTGTAAGGACAGACTGAAACCAATTGGTGCCGAAGAATTATTACAATATTTTATTATGAAAATAGCTAATGAAGAAGCAAATGTACATCCAACAAAAAAATTATCATTAGATAATGAGACAGAGTCTAATGCATCTGTACATGATAAAAAGCAGACATTTTGTTTAGAAGCTTATATACAATGGTTTAATCGTTTAAGTTTTTTTGTTACAACAGAAATTGTTAAACATTTAAGAAAACGATCACGTATTAGAGTTATAAATTATTTTATTGATGCTGCTTATGAATGTTTTCGATTACATAATTTTAATTCAATGATTGGTATACTTGGTGGTTTAAATATGCAACCAGTAAGACGTTTAAAACGAACGGTAAAATTTTTTTAACTTTTTTTTTTTAAACTAGAAAATTGATTCTTTTTTTGTCTTTTATTTTTCTAGTGGGAAAAAGTACAACAAGAAAAATTTAAAAAACTTGAACAATATATGGATGTTTCAAAAAATTTTTTGTCATATCGTATTGTACTTAAAGCAGCTATTAAAGAGGCGGATAAACATAATTGGGCTGCCGATAAAGTATGTTAAAAAATTTTCTATTTTCATTTTAATATTTATCAAATTTTCTCTTCAATTATAAAATAATAGATTGTTATTCCATTTACAAGTATTGTATTACAAGATGTTTATTATATTAAAACACATAGTAAAGATTATACAAGTGCCGGTGGTATTAATTTGAAAAAATATTATATGATGGCTAAATTTGTATCAGAAGAATTTGTACGTTGTAAAGCGAGTAAATGTTCATTTGATCGAAACGATGTTATCATTAATTATATAATAACTAGTCCAATATTTAATGAAGATTCACTTATGTTAGCATCATTTGAATGTGAACAAGCTGAAACACCAAATGAACGTAATAAACTTCGAACATTAAAAGTAGCGATGAATATGCAATAATCGGTCGTTTTTATTATCTATGCAATATAATAGTCAAGAACAAATGACAAAAAAAAAAAAATAGAGAGTATCAACTATTGTCATTTGTTCAAGCAATTTGTTTTTTAATTTTTCATTGGTGCAAAAATATAATTGTTGTTCAAAATAACAAAAATTTATTTTTAACTAATTCATGTGTCGATAGTAGATGATGATATTATTTTATTTTAATCATTTTTAAAATGATAAAAGCTTTTTGCCATTATTTATCTAATAATCATTCAATACGTCCTAATAAAAGGTTATTCTATGTTGCTATTCTATGTTGTATGTTTGTTGTCTGCATTTGCATAACTCCACTATTGTGTTTTTTTTGTTGTTTTTTTCCTTGTAAAATATTTATATTCGAAACGAAACGAAATAGAAAGAACAAAAATTTCTTGCATAAAGACTGATGAATTTGTGTGAAATATTCTAATGTCTTTCATTATTCTCATTTATTCATTCATTGTCAGGATCTTATGTATTTTTCTTTTCTTTTTTTTTTCCTTTTTTTTTTTTTTAAATTTTTTCATGCTAGTATTATATAGAAAAAATGATAGAAAAGTGAATGGAACCAAGTGATGGTTTTTAAGCATTGTTTTTTATTGTAATATTTTTCATGTATTTTAATTCATATATAGTATATATACTAATATAGGGTGTTTAATACTAATTTGGCAACTAATTTGGAACATATTATACTTCGGCATTTGAGAGTACTAGTCTATACTTCTATATTATGCTGCTATTCATTTTTTTCTAGGTATCAATATTTTTGATCATCAAATTTATTCATTACAAAATGATTACTAAAAATAAGACTTTTGGTCAGCAGAATGAATATATAAGAAGAAATATGAACAAAATAGAAGTTTAATTTTAACGGTTTTTAAGTTTTTTGAAATTTAATTGATTTTTTCAACTCAAAACAGTTATAAATAACGTCACATTTAGTTGGATTAACTATTTTATTTAACATATATATCAGATTACGGAGAAAACTCGTTGTGAACTATAGGATGAGAGAAAAAGTAAAGGTTGTCCGAAAAAAGTTCGTACAGTCTTATTGTTCGATCTATTTCATAACTCATCAAAGTTTCAATCAGGTGTTGTGAGAATTAATAACTACAAATGCTCACGTTCAATTATAAACGATCAGATTATGCTCAGTAATAATTTTGAGTTTCCATTTCTGTGATCATAAGTTCGGTGTTACAACTATTGAAGCAATATGCTTCTTCATTTGAATAATAAAATTGAATTTTCTTCGTAAATGTTCGTGTTTTATTAACAACTGAGCAATAGATATGAAAATATTTTAACATTTCGTCAAACAATAGAAAAGAAAGTTTTTAAATGTACTTTTATATGTCTTTATATTCTGATCTATTGTATAGTTGAAATTCCTGAATCCATCAAATATACAGAACAACATAACTTTTATTGATGTTCGTTTTCATATTTGTTGAAATGTTCATTTCTTACGACAGTTGTTTTTAAAGAAAAAGATCATCACAGTTATATTTGATAACTCTTTAATCTCTTTAAACTCTTTAATCATTCACAAGAATTCTCACTCTAGGTAAATGATAGAGAGCTCGAACTGGTTTTGTTATGCAGTAAGCACTGATGCCTAGGAGTTTACAGAGCCCGATTTTTTAATTTCTCATTTACTGATTTCTGGTGCTTAATAGAACTTTTAAATCCGAAAAATCCTTGGAAGGTTTCTTAGAAATCCTCATTTCTATAAAAAATAGATGTATAATTTAAAAATAAAAAATAAAAAAGTAATGTAGAAGAAAAAATAAAAAAGTATGGATGTTCGGAATGAAAAGTCCGGAAAATGAAAAGATCGGAATGCAAAAAGACCGGATGTTCGCAACGGTAACCAGAAAAAATCCGAATGTTGGAAATGAAAATCGTCTGGATGTACGGAACGCATGAGCCAGCGTTTTTTAGTGTTTTTGTATACAAAAATGTCTGGATGTTCGTAACAATCCCTCACGTTTTGTTACGAACATCCGTACTTTTCATTCCGAACACCCGGACGACTTTCATTCCGAACATTTTATCCTATATAGACCCGATCCCGCGCATCCCGTCACTTGGTCGGATGGCCGGAAGACCAAGGATGAAAAAGGACAGCCCCACAACTGCATGAATTTGACATTAATGAACTAGTGGAATTTATTACTTTTTAAACAAGCTCCTCTTTACTGTAGCTGACGCTCTACGTGAACGACCAGTAGAATTAAACAAAAAACTGGCAATCAGATCAGATTTTCCCAACTAAAGTAAACTACCAGAATAGTCAACAATCACACACCGTCAGCGTTTGGAGTCCAGGACGCCATTATTTTATCCCTAAAAGCCCTTTCATGAACAGAAAACATTTTCTTTCATGCACACTGAGTGTGCGCTTGTATGTTTATCGGGATGATATGCACTTTTGTCACGTTAATTTTCAAATGAGGGAAATTTGCTCGAATGGAATTTCCTCGAACAGAATTTCCTCGAATGGAAACCTCTTCGAATTTTCCAAACAAAAATTATCAATATTATTTGCAGTGTATAGACCCTCCTTAAAGTCTCGGTTATACATATTTGTACCGGTTTATAAGAGAAAATAAGACTATAACTCATTTTAAAAGTCACTTTGATACATTGATATAAAGACGAGAAATAAGTAATGATAAGAGATGATCAGAAGGAAAACAGATGACAGAGTAGCTAAAATAATCAACTATTCGAATTAATTAACAGAATTATAAAAATAGAATAAAAAAGAAATCAACAAAGAGACCGCATGATAATCACACCTTAGACAATGCGACATATAGAGTACTGTGGGGTAAAAATAGTCAGTTCACGAAATTTTCGTCGTAATTTCACTATTTCTTCTCCGTTTTTAACTGAAAAAATTCGATATTCACCACGATAGTAAAGCCGACAATTATCTACACAATAGTACAAAAATTTCTTGAAAATTCATGTTGGTTTTCCAGACATATTCAAACAGGAGCCGACTGATTGTGACTGACTCTTTTTACCCCACATGGGGTAAATAGAGTTAGCTCATTTATGTCGATGGGATCAAAGGAGTCACTCCATTGAAATACATGGAGATTTTTTAAAAGCATCGTAGCTCATTAACGATGAATGCTAATTAATTAAAAATTATATCACTGTGAAGTTCTACTCTTCCTCTATCGAACCATATGATTTTGATCTTCATATTCGTTACCTTCATTAAGCTAATTAGACCACAATAGAACGTGTCATTTTTTAAATTTTATGCTTTGGGGTAAAAAGAGTCATTCGTTCAAATCCATGGAGATTTCAAAGAAGCATCTGTACAGACTTCCGAAAATCGATTTCAGTGCTACCATGAGTGTAAAAGTTGTTAATAATACCGGTAAAAATTACAGACGTACTTAGGATATCATAAAATTTCTTGCGTTTTAGGAATTACGAGCCACTTTTCGCTTATGTTAAAGATGACGGTATTATTAACAACTTTTACACTCATGATAGTATTCAAACTGATTTTCGGAAGTCTGTACAGATGCTTCCTTGAAATCCTCAAAGAAATAGGTTCAGTTGTCTTATTGGTATTTATCTGTTGCTGAAGTAATTTTTTGTGTTCATCTTTAATGTTTCTCTTGCTCTATACACTACAAATAATATTGATAATTTTTGTTTGGAAAATTCGAGGAGGTTTTCATCCGAGGAAATTCTGTTCGAGCATATATCTTTGGAGGAAATTTCATTCAAGTAAATTTCCTAAACCCTAATTTTCGTCACATAGAAAAAAGAACTTTCGTCCCACGTGACGAAAGTGTCTGGTCTTTTGGGGGGAGTACCCCACCCTACATTTTGGTCACAAGAGTGGTGAACTTTCGTAACCAACTGTGTAACATACCTACAACTATCGTCACACTGATAACATAGAACTGCTTATACGGGGACTACTGCAATTTGAACAGCTGGAGCGTGGTCTACTCCAGACCGAACTACTCCCACACGCAATAAACGCTTGATTTTGATATTTTGACTTTAGAAAAAGACTTCAGAAGGTTTTTTTACGCGTTTCGCTAGGAAAATGCAATGTTTGTAAAGAAAAAAGCAAGAAGTTATTACTCCAGTTTGCACTGCTACAGTTTACATTACTGCAGTTTGGACTACTCCTGTTTGCACTACTACACTTTGGATTAATGAACTTTGCACTACAACATTGATTTCATCGCAGCCTTTGATTTCATGCAACGTGTGACGAAAGTGCCGACCTGTCTAAAAAGCCAGACACTTTCGTCACATAACGGGTTACCTTTCGTAACCACTATTTAAACATTGTTAAACTTTCGTCACATGCCGAGAGAATTTTTGTCACCGAAAACAGAACTTTCGTCATGTGACGAAAGTTCATTGTTACCCGATGACGAAAGTGCCGTGAAACGTTTATTGCACAAAACTGAGAAAGTAAGAAATAATTCCACTGATACACAGACAAAAGTAGACACAATTCGAACGACCATCCCATCATGTTTTGACGAACGAATAAAGCATCTCATCTACGATGAACAACACACCTGCTATTTCGACATGCACAAGTCTATCAGCACCAAATACTTACACAACTGTCCTAACAGAAAAATGCCAACATCAAGACTGACCAGATAAAAATTACTCATGCGCTTCCGCAACCCACATTCACCGTAAACGACGGAAACAAAGCACGCGCAACTGCTTAGTCGAAGTACAACTTGATTTTCGTATTTTACAATTTTTCTCTGCCACAAGACGCAGCTGAAACGTTGAACAATAATCACTTCATCCTTCCAAAATAAACAAAAGATTGACATGAGTTTATTTTTGTGCTTAGGACTTTAACGAAGAATAGCTAAAAGTTAAATTGAGTTAAATAGTTTGTGAATTGCGACTGCACTTAAACCGTTGATGAATGACGATACCATTGTGCA